TCCCTAGAGGGATATATGCAGTACAGTCGCATGACGTGAAGCTTAGTACCACGCAAAGCCGTGTACTGCTGAGAGACAGGCTCCTGTGTAACCGGTAGGGATGCGTGGGAATAACAAAACTACACCCAGGTCAGTGGACGCCTCTGGGGGGCGCCGGGATCCTCTCCTGGAAGGCACACGGAGGCCTTCAGCTGGCACTTCTTCAGCTGCGATGTGGGCACATGGGTGTTCTTGATGATTTGCTGTGTCTTGTGCACCTTAGATATTTTACAACCACGCTCTTCCATCCGCCCTTCAGTCCCATTTTTCTGCTCCGCTACGTTGGCAAAACGTGCCCGAAGAGTTGTATGTGGTTGTCCGCACCAGGACACCGACGGCCCCCTGCTCCCGAAGCCCACGGCCACCTCTCCACATCACCTCCCCAGCCTCAGCTGCACCTGCCGCAGCGGCCACACCCTCTCTTGAAAGTCCTCTTCCTGTGGCTCCCTGGACACCATACCCTCCCGCTTCTCCAGCCGCTTCCTCCCTGTCTCCTCCTGGGCCGGATCTTTATTTTTTATTTCTTTATATTTAAAAAAAATTTTTTATCCCCACCTGAGGACATTTTTGCATTTATCTTCAGATAGAGCAGAAGGGAGGGAGAGGGGAAGAGAGAGAGAGAGAGAAACGTGGATGTGAGAGAGACACACAGAGTGGTTGCCACCCACACGACCCCAACCGGGGCCGGGGACAAACTGCAACCGAGGTACATGCCCTTAGGAACCGAACCTGGGGCTCTCTGGTTCGATGCTCTAACCGCTGAGCCAAACTGGCCAGGGCTATTTTTAAAATTTTATTTATTTTTATTGTTGAAAGTATTACAGATGTTCCCCCCCTTTTCTCCCCTTGACCCCTCTTCTCCCCGCCCCCACCCCCGCCCCCTCCTGCTTTCCCCAAACTAATATCCGTGTCCACTGGCTGTGCATATGTGCATACACGTTCTTGGATTTAACTCTTCTCACGCCCCACCCCCCATCCCTCTGAGGTTTGTCACTCGGTTCCCTTCTTCCATGACTCTGGATCTGTTTTGATGGACAGCTTAATTTCTTCATGATAAACCATAAATAAGTGAGATCATGGGGTACTTGTCTTTTTCTGTACGGCTTAATTTGCTCAGTATAATATTCTCCAGGTGATCTTTGTTTTTTAATTTTAGTTTTTTAAATATGTTTTTATTGATTTTTTTAGAGAGAGAGGAAGGGAGAGAGGGATAGAAACATCAATATGAGAAACCTCCATCGGCTTCCTCCTGCACGCCCCCTACTGGGGATGGGACCTCAAACCCCGGCATGTGTCCTGCACGCCCCCTACTGGGGGTCGGACCCAAAACCGAGGCATGTGTCCTGCACGCCCCCTACTGGGGATCCGACCCAAAACCCAGGCATGTGTCCTGACTGGGGGTCAAATGGGACCTCTCGGCCCAAGGACCGACGCTCAAACCACTGAGCCACACCGGCCAGCCCCAGGGCCTGATCTTTAAACACTGGAAGACGCCAGGGTCTGTCCACTTCTCCATCTGTGCCTCCTTCCTCCATGACCTCCGATGACCCCAGTCTGGGTCTCCATCCCCAGCCTTTCCCTTGGTCTGAGCTCGGGCTACGGAAACAACGGACGGTGGCCTGGGAGCTCAGACAGCAAATGTTTATTTGCCCCAGTTTGGAGGCTAGAAGCCTGGGGCCAGGGGGCCAGCATGGTCTGCTTCTGGGCGAGGGTCTCCTCCGGGAGCCTTCCCACTGTGTCCTCATCTGGCCTTTCCTGGTGTATGTGCTCAGAGGAAGAGATAGAGAGATCCCCCTTCCGAGTCTACACGACCATTCATCCCACTATGGGGGCTCCACCCTCGTGACCTCGTCTAACCGTAATGACCTCCCAAGGTCCCACCTCCTAATACATCACATCAGGGATAGGGCTTTACCTTACGAATTTGTGGGGGACACAGATATTCAGTCCACAGCCCCCCTAATACCAGACTTAGATGGGGTGTTCCCCAGGCAACCGCTGAGACTTGACGGTGTCTGACCTCCGAGGCAGCCACTTTGGGAGGTCCAGCCTAGCCCATGCGATTCCACAGTGCATCGCTGTAGTGGGAGCCCTTGGGGACTGGGACTAGGGAAATGTCTAGGTGCTCGAGAAATATATGTGGGATAACTGATGCTCAATTAATGAGGAATGAAAGAAAAAAATCAGAGGGGATAATAAGAAAACAAATGATAAAGCCGTAGACCTCTGTCTAACCATTTCAATAATTACATTAAATGTTGATAGTTTAAATATTTCAATTAAAAGGCAGAGATAGCCCTGGCCGGTTAGGCTCAGCGGTTGGAGCGTCGGCCTGCGGTCCAGAGAGACCCGGGTTCGGTTCCCGCTAAGGGCACGTACCTCGGTTGCAGTTTGTCCCCGGCCCTGGTTGGTCGTGCGGGTGGCAGCCACTCGATGTGTCCCTTCACATCGATGTTTCTCTCTCTCTCTCTCCCTCCCACTCTATCTGAACAAAAAATGGAAAAATGTCCTCGGGTGAGGATAAAAAAAAAAAAAAAAAGGCAGAGATAGCCCATCTGGTGAGGCTCAGTGGATTGAGCATTGTCCCATCAACTGAGAAGTCCTGGTTTGATTCCCCGTCAGGGCACGTGCCCGGGTTGTGGGCTCGATCCCCGGTAGGGGGCGTGCAGGAGGCGACCAACTGATGTTCTCTCTCACATCGATGTTTCTCTCTCTCTCTAAAATAAATAAATAAATAAATAAATAAATAAATAAATGGCAAAGATAGACAGAGCAGATTTTTAAAAAACCCTCTTAAATATTGCCTACAAAAACACACACACACACACACACAAACCACGCTAAATATGAAGGCAGAGAGAAGTTGCAAGTAAATTAATGACAAAAAGATATGTCCCATAGATAGTAAGCATAAGAGGGCTAGTGTGGCTATTTTATTTTATTTCATCCCCCACCCCACCCCCCGTTTTATTCAGGCATAATTGACGTATAATGTGACTATTTTAATATCAGGTAAAATAGACTTCAAGATTGCTACCACAGATAGAGACACACCACAGTGATGAAAAGGACAATTCGTCAGGAAGGCATAACCACAAATATGTATGCTCCTAATAAATAGAGCCCCAGCCCTGGCTGGTTTGGTTCAGCGGTTAGAGCGTTGGCCTGCGGTACAGAGAGACCCAGGTTTGGTTCCCGCTGAGGGCACGTAACTTGGTTGCAGTTTGTCCCCGGCCCTGGTTGGGTCATGTGGGTGGCAACCAGTCGATGTGTCCCTTTCACATCGATGTCTCTCTCTCTCTCTCTCTCTCTCTCTCTCTCTTCCCTCCCTCCCACTCTATCTGAACAAAAAAATGGAAAAAATGTCCTCAGGTGAGGATAAAAATAAATAAAATTTTAAAATAATAAATAAATAAAGCCCCAAAATATAGGAAACCAAAATTGGCAGAATTTAAAAATGAGCTAGATGATCCCAGAGCCCCAGAGGAGGAATCAACACCCTCTCTCCGCAACTAATGGCACAACTAGACGAAAATTTGGGAACACAGATCTGGGCCTCGATACAAACACCTGGATCCAATGGGCATGTGTGGAACACTGCCCCTAGCAGCAACAGAACACACAAGAAAATACATTCCTTTAAATATCGTTACTGATTTGTTAGAGAGAGTAAAGGAGAGGGGGAGAGAGAGAGCAACATCAATGAGAGAGAAAGAAGCATCAACATCCATCGGCTGCTTCCTGCACGCTCCCAACTGACGGTTGAGCCTGCAACCCAGACATGTGTCCTGACCAGGAATGGAACTGGGACCTCTTGGTGCATGGGTCCCATGCTCAACCACTGAGCCACACTGACCGGGCTACAACACACATTTTTTTTTTTTTTTAATCCTCACCCGAGGACATTTTTCCATTTTTTGTACAGATAGAGTGGGAGGAAGAGAGAGAGAGAAACATCGATGTGAAAGGGACACATCGAGTGGCTGCCACCCGCACGACCAACCAGGGCCGGGGACAAACTGCAAGTGAAGTACGTGCCCTTACCGGGAACCGAACCCGGGTCTCTCCAGACCGCAGGCCGACGCTCTAACCACTGAGCCAAACCGGCCAGGGTGCACAACACACATTTTTAAGTGCACATACATCATGCTAGACCACACCATGAGCTTTCAGACAAATCTCCGTGAATTTAAAGGGATAATACTCCGACAGAATATATTCTTTGACCACAACAGAATTCAAATAGAAATCAATAACCATAGGAGTTTTGCGGAAACTTCAAAACTTCAAACGACTGGAAATTGTACAGCACACTTTTCATTCATGGGTCAAGACCAACACAGTAGAGATTGAAAATACTTTTATCATTTTGGGTGTGTGCCCCTAGCAGGAATCGAACCCTGGACTCTCCGGTCCGCAGGCCGACGCTCCAACCGCTGAGCCAAACCGGCCACCGCTAAAAGTCCTTTTGATTGAATGACCAAGTGCAACAAACCGGCAGGATGCAGCTCAGTCGCGTTTGGCCAGAAACTTAGAGGATGAAACGCTTCTTTCTATTGGGAAAGAGGAAAGACGTGAAATCCGTGACCCGGGGCTTCACATTAGGAAAGTAGAAAAAGACCAGCAAAGTAAGAAACCCAAAGTCAGCGGGCCCTGGGCGCTCGGGGAGCTCGCAGCCCTTCCCGTGCGCCGCCTCCAGTTCCCCGGGCAGCGCGATCCCTGCCAAGGGGCCTTCTCGGCGGGGCAGGAAAGTGGGCATTCATCCCACACGCAGGCCTGACCCCAGGCCTCCCGGGCGTGAGAGGGGCCAGGGCGCACGAAGCCTGGGCTGCGGGCACTGCTCCGGGGACCCCTGCAGCCCCCACCCCACCCCGCGACGCCGCTGCCCCGTGACCGACGCGGCCCGCGCTCCTCAGCCGTTGGCCCACCCACGGCCTCCGTGCGCCTCCCCAGCAGGCACCATGCGGCCGGCGCCTGCGCTCCTCCTGCTCCTGGGCCTGGGCTGGGGCTGTGGCCACCGTCCTCCGCCCCAGGCTCCTCGCGGGGCCCCGGCCGTCTCAGCCCTCGTCCCTGGGGCGCCTGCCGCGGCCCACGACTCCAAGGCCGGGCCTCGCGTCCCGGCACAGGGCGAGGTAACCACGCCGCGCTCAGTCGGGGGCGCCCAGGGCCTCGGGCTACCCGGTGGCCACACTCACCTCAGCCTGCGGCCACGCCGGGCCCTGCGCGGTGGCGTCCTGAGCGACGGCAGCCTCCGCCTCTGCTGCTTCCGCGGCCCCGCGCGGTGGCCACGCTGGCGCCGCGCCCCACGCTCTGCGCCCGCCCACGCGGACTCGCACCTCTCGGCGCCCGGCGGCCAGCCCTCCCGGCAGGGGCTCACCCACCCGCGGCGCTCGCTCTGGCCTGGCAGCCGCAGGGACGCGCCCTCCGCCTCCAGCGGGTTGCCCCGCTCCACCCCGCCTGGTGGCCCTCACCCCAGTGCGGGCTTCGTGACCCCAACCCAGTGCCCTACAGATGCTCTTAGGTCTGTCGTTTCAGAAGCCGTCAACTCAGATGGCTCCCCAGCCCCGGACTCTTCAGTGTCCTGTCCACTATTAAGACAGGGGACTTGCGTTATCAAAAAGCTAAAGGTCAACTCCTATATAGGCCGTCCCCCCCTGTTGTTGACCAGGGACAAGAACATTTCCCTCTACGCCACCCTTTCGTATGACTGCCCGTCACTTCAGAGCAAACACACTGACTGGAGCGTCTTTTCCACGCCCTCTCTGATTAAGGAGCCCGACTGGACCAAGCCCTTGGTGATACCGACGCTCCAGGTCGGGAACGACCCCACGATCGTACACGTCCTCAAGAATACTTTATTTTTGGGGGTGTACGTGTTCAGATTCTCAGTGAGCCTGGTCACGGCAAGCGGGCTTGTGGTAGAAGGCTCAGATCATGCCTACGTCTCCATCGTCAGTAATTTCCTGAGGGCGGTTATTCTTGGAGATGCCGACATAAAGATTAATTTCACAGATGGGCTGGTTCTGAATGGATCCACGTCCTCTGACCCAGATGTGGACAACCCTTTGGAGGGACTCCTGTTTTCTTGGTACTGCACCACAAATCCAAAAAACTACAACAGAAATAAAATAAACGTGATAAGCAAGGACGTCTGTCTCCCAGAGCAGGGTGATCTCGAGTGGACATGGGCCTCTGGCCCTGTGCTGACGGTTTTGCCAGAGACGCTGAAAGGCGACCAAGTCTACTTTTTCAGAATGGTGATAAAGAAGCATCACAGAACAGCATTTGCTGCTAAAAGGGTCCAGGTGCTCCAAGGACCGACACCTGCAGCACATATTTCATGTATTGAAAATTGTGATGCGGTTTTGGTGATATCAGACAGATTCTCTTTGTGTCTAATTTGCACAAATTGTTTAACAAGCCGAGATGTGTATAAGTGGTCGATCCTGTTGCCTTCAGGGGGTGAGATAGGGTTTGACTGGACGGGACAAACGTCGACGGGGAGGAATAGCAGTTATTTGTCCATAAAAGCTTTTGCTTTCAAGAACTTTTTTGAAGCTAAGTTTTGGGTTTCTTTAGATCTAGCAGCTTGGAGTGGAGTGACCACAGTCCTCAGGTATCCCTTTATCATTAACTATGCCCCTGAAATTGGAGAATGCAACATTAATCCAACTAATGGAACTGCATTTTTCACTAAGTTTATTGTCCAGTGCAGTAACTTTAAGGATCAGAACGTCCCTCTTACGTATAAAATTATAGTATCTGACTTGTACGGTTTTGCTGAAATCAGTTCTTTGAAAGAGAACACTTTGGGGCCCATCTTGTATATGGGCAACAAGCCCACGTCGCCCCCTTCCTTCCTCCCTGTCAGTATGCTGGACCGTCAACTCGCCACTAAGATTTTTGTCCAGGTGTATGACTCTCTGGGAGCTTTTGCTCAGGTGACTTTGCACGCCATGGTACAGGCTCCGACTGACAGGGACTCACCCGAGTCCGTGCTGCAGCGGTTACTGAACTTCACCACGGGACAGAGTTCAGAGATGGCTACTTTGCTTCAAAAGCAGGAATTTTTGCCCGCAGGCTACTTAACGTACGTAGCAGCCTCCGTTTTGAATAGCGTGAAAGCTGAACCAGGTCTGCAGGAGGACAGAGCCAGGCTCCAGGAACACCTCGTCAACCAGTCCGTCGTGCTCCCTATGAATTCCCTGGAGGAAGTCAGCCAGGTAGTCACGGCCATCACGAAATTAACCCAGGACACGTCCGCCTTCCGTCCCGTCTCTCGGAAACTCGTCACGGGGAGGATTTGGCAAGCGAACCAAGCCCTCCAGCAACATCAACAGAACGATGCAAACTCCCGCTCTGAACAAATAGAAATCGTGAGCACTGGGATATTAACAAGCGTGTCCAACATCCTTAAAATGAGTACTCACCACCAAATCGTCGATGATCCCTTCTACGTCATACAGTCTCTAGCAGAGACAATATTGACCAGTAAAGTGCCGGGTAATGAAACCACTGTCACAACAACCTCCAGCTTCAACATGTACATCCGGAAAGTGGAAAGGACAGTTGCTACCAACGTCTTAGGCGATGAGAAACACAGTCGGAATCGTTTTCATCCGACGCTCAATACGAGCAGGGTCCCCGGTTTGTCCGCAGACGCTCAGATCTCTATGGTGTTTTGTGAGTTTGCAGATGACCCCTTTCCTTGGTTAAACGACCAGGAGAGCCCCGGGACAGATGTGGTTGGGTTCAGAGTGACCGGGGTTCAGGCTACCGGGCAGGTGCTCGAGATCACCCCCGACGTGGCAGACGTCTACCTGGCCAGAAAAAACTTGAGCTCTGCAGCCTTTAAGCTCACGGTGGGCCCCGACAACGAGCCCGACAAGGTCGAGGTTTTGAGACAGACAACAGGGGCGTTCAGGTTTGAAGTGGACAGCAGGGAGGTGAGGGAGCTGCTGGTTCACGTCGTGACGGAGGTGACCGTGCTGTTCACCGTGCTGGTGTACGCCGGCAGTCAGATCGCCCTTGCTGCTCTGGTGGCCACCTTCCTCGTGCCCCAAGATATCCCTCCAGTGGCCCACCAGAACGGCCTGTTCGACGCAGCCTGTCCAGTCAAGATGGCCCGTGTGCTTTGCCTCCCGCCGTCCTTGCTCCGAGTCATCGCTCAGCGGGGCGGCTCTTCCGAGTGCACCATAGTCATGGTGCTCCAGGCACCGCATTTCGTCATGCAGCCCAGCGACAAGCTGGTGAGAATTGCTCTTTTCAGTGTTCGCTGCCTGGACATGTATGGGATCCAGAGGGACTGGATCGAGGACACCTGTGTCCTCGGGGAGACGACCACCTGGGACAGGGTGCACTGTGTCTGCAAGAACGCAAGGAGGGCCAGGCGGCAGCTGGACGCCATAAGGCTGGCCAACATCCGCCTGCGCATCCGGTACCTGACGGCCAAGGTGATCGTGCCCCCTAACCCTGTCGACCTGCGCTTAGAGGTCATCAAGAAGGTCGCCCAAAATCCCGTGACGGTCTCCACCGTTTTCTTCATCATGGCCTCGTATATAGTCCTAGCCTTCTGGGCCTTGCACAGAGATGAGACTGACCAGTTTGTTTGGGACCATGTGATTGTTCTACCCGATAATGACCCTTACGATGACGTATGTTACCTCATCACTGTTTTCACGGGAAGCCGTTGTGGGTCTGGGACCAGGGCCAACGTCTTTGTCCAACTTAGGGGGACAAGCAGCAGCAGCGATGTGCATTGTTTAAGCCACCCGAATTTTAAGACCCTCTACCGGGCAAGCATCCACACGTTCCTCCTAACGACCAAAAGTGACCTGGGGGACATCCGCTCCATCCGCGTCTGGCACAACAATGAGGGCAGGGCCCCCAGCTGGTATTTAAGTCGCGTCAAAGTGGAGAATCTGTTCACCAGGCACATCTGGCTGTTCATGTGTCGGGAGTGGCTCTCCGTGGACACCTCTTTGGACAGAACGTTTCACGTCACCGACCCCAATCAGCCTCTGCAGACGGGGGACTTTTTCCTGATAGACGTGACTGATAAGCTAGGGAAAAATCACATGTGGTTTTCTGTTTTCGCCAGCGCCACCACCCAGGGCTTCACTCGGGTCCAGAGGCTGTCCTGCTGTCTGGCGATGCTGCTGTCTTCCCTGATGTGCAACATCATGTTCTTCAACCTGAACACGGAGGAGGAGGACAGCGACCAAGGCAGCCGGTACATCCGATCGATGGTCATCGGCTTGGAGAGTGTCGTGATTACCATCCCTGTGCAAGTCATGATCACCTTTTTGTTCACCTACTCCCAGAGGAGGCCTCGGGTGACACTGGAGGAGGTGTCCCCTCGGCAGCCTCCCGCGGTGGAGGCAGGGAGACACTGGGAGGAACGCTTGGAGAAGTGGCATGCCCAGGAAATCACAAAGGCCCTCTCCAAGGAGGCTGACAGCTCTCCCCCTGTGGCAGATACGACAGATCAGACAGACCGGACAGAGCCGAAAGAGCTGACACATTGGACAGAACCGACAGAGCCTACAGAGCCAACAGATCAGACAGATCGGACAGAGCCGACAGATCCGAGGCTGCCGAAGTCTCCTGTGAAGAAGACCTCCAAAGCAAGTCGCCAGCATAGAGATCCAACAGATCGGGCAGATCGGACAGAGCCCACAGATCCGGGGTTCCCGAAGTCTCCTGTGAAGAAGACCTCCAAAGCAAGTCGCCAGCATAGAGATCCAACAGATCGGGCAGATCGGACAGAGCCCACAGATCCGGGGTTCCTGAAGTCTCCTGTGAAGAAGACCTCCAAAGCAAGTCGCCGGCATAAGAAAGCAAAGAGCAAGGACTCAGGCACCCACAGAACAGATACAGATACAGACACAGATACAGACACAAATGTAAATACAAATGCAAACACAAATACCAATGCCAATGACAAAACCGAGAACGCCAGTCCGGAGGGTCCTTCAGCAGAGCCGCCCCCCCCAGCGGACCCTCCACCCTTCACCGAGAAGCCCAGGATCACTCTGCCTTCGTGCTGTGTTTACCTCGCGTGGTTCTTGGTTTTTGCCACCTCAGGCGTGTCCTCGTTCTTCATCGTGTTCTACGGCCTGACATACGGCTACGAGAGGTCGATAGAGTGGCTGTTCGCGTCCTTCTGCTCATTCTGCCAGTCCATTTTCCTGGTGCAGCCGTCAAAAATCATAATCCTGTCAAGCATCCGCTCCAACAGGCCCAAGTACTGTAAAAACCTTCCGTGGGTCAGCAACTATCGCTACAGCGAGATCCGGCTCCAGGACCTCAGGCTGCACCCGGAGGAGATGCGCATGCGACACATGCAGGTCGCCCACCTTCGCAGCACCAGCATGTACCAGCCTCTCACCAGAGACGAAATCAGGATATTCAAGAGGAGGAAGAAGGTCAAGAGGAGAGCTTGGCTGTTCCTGAGCTACGGCCTGACTCACTTCGTCTTCCTAGCCCTTCTGCTGAGCCTCTCCGCCCTCCTCCAGCACACCGACAGCTTCCGCTACAACCAGTTCATCCGCGGCCAGTTCTCCGTGGACCTGGCTGCAGTGACCACGCTGGACGACATCTACAGGTGGCTCGACAGCGTGCTGCCGCCGCTGTTCCACAACGACCGGACGCCGACGTTTCTCCCCGACAGCTCCTCTAAAATCCTCGGCCTGCCGCTGATGAGGCAGGTGAGGGCAAAGCTCAGCAGGAAAGTTTGTCTGTCCGCCAGCCGTGTGCCTCCAAACAGCATCGAAGGAGAGATTCACTGTCATCCCAAGTACGGCACCGACCTCGAAGACACAGACAACTACTCCGGCTCTTGGAAGAAAGTCGGCAAGCAGGTGGCCGACAAGAACACCAAAGGGTTTACTTACAAGCCTCCAGAAAAGAGGTGGGTGTACCACTCCTACGGACTTCTTCACACCTATGGGTCGGGGGGGTACGCGTTCTACTTTTTCCCAGACCAGCAGCGGTTCAATTCCACGGTGAGGCTCAAGGACCTCCAGAGCAGCGGCTGGCTGGACGAGAAGACGTGGGCTGTGATTCTGGACCTGACCACCTTTAACCCGGACGCCAGCCTGCTCTGCAGCGTCTCGGTCCTGTTCGAGGTCTCCCAGCTGGGCGTGGTGAACACAAGCATCTCTGTGCACTCCTTCTCCTTGGCCGACCTGGACAGGAAAACGTCAGCAGAGGTCTACCTGTACGCGGCCGTCCTCGTGTTCTTCCTGGCCTACGCCGCCCACGACGTGTACATCATAACCCAGGAGAGGGCCTCCTACGTGACCAGCGTGCATAATGTCCTCAACTTCGCCCTCAAGTGCCTCTTCGTCGTGTTGATTGCGCTGTTTTTCAGGAAATACATCCTGGCCACCGGCATCACTCACCTGTACGCATCGAACCCGGTGGATTTCATTCCCTTTCACGCCGTGTCTCAAGTGGATCACGCCATGAGGGTCACTCTGGGTTTCCTGCTGTTTCTGACCATCTTGAAGACCCTCGGGTATTTCAGATTCTTTTATGAAGTGCGCCTGGCTCAGCGGGCCATCTGGATCGCCCTGCCCGGCATCTGCCACGTGGCGCTCCTGGTGTCCCTGTGTCTCTTTGTGTACGTGGCTTTCGGCCACCTGGTGTTCGGGCAGCATGAGTGGAACTACAGTAACTTCATCGACGCCACTCAGACAGTCTTCTCCTACTGCGTCTCAGCTTTTCGCAACACAGACTTTTCCAACAACAGGGTCCTCGGGGTCCTGTTTCTCTCCTCGTTTGTGCTGCTGCTGATCTGCGTGTTGATCAGCCTGTTTAAGGCCGTGATTCTGCCCGCCTACGAGGACATGAGGCAGCCCGTGTACGAGGAGCCGTCCGAGGAGGTGGAAGCCATCGCCTACCTGTGCGGCAAGCTCAGGGCTCTGCTCGGCGTCCTGTGCTTTCGGCCCAAGGCCCCGAAGGAGCCTGTGTTGTTTGCGGACATGCTCTACGGGAAGCCAGAGGCGCACAGCCGCCGCTACCTGGGGCTGAAGACCAGGCGCATCAACGAGAGGAAGATGGTGTACCTGGTGGTGTGACCGCCACGGGTCCATGAGCTACAGGCGAGACTGCCCACAGCGGCTCAGTTCAGTGGCTCCATCCGCTGTCTGCCCCGCGCAGTGCACACCCCTACATGTGCACGTGTTCCCACCCTCGGCCTACACTCAGGAACACGGCAGGAGGGAGTGCAGTGCCCGGGGAGAGGAGGGCAGCCTGGGCGTCCAGCGATGAGCTCCCTTTAGGGGGTGTCAGGCGTCTTTGGAGCCCACCGCAATTTAGAGGGTTAGAGACCCAGGTTTGGGGGAGGGAGCTAAAGATCCCCCCCCACACCTCGCCGGGAGTGCTTTCCACTGACCAGAGCTTGCCTGACCCTCATCCCCTGCACCCCCACATTCCCGCAGGGCCATGGGGAGGGCCCGTGGGGAATTCTGGGACTTGCCCCACGTTTGAGGGGCAAGAACGGTGGTCAGAAGCCTTCCATCTACCCCCTAAGGCTCCTTCCCGTTAAAGATGTGAAATGGAACCCTATTTTCTGGCCACGAGACAACGTTTTTGTCAGACAACCACAAGGGGGCGCGTGGGGCGCTTGGAAAGACTGGCCGTTCGGCGCCGGATCCAGCAGAGTGTGTGTACATCCAGGGTCCGGGCTTTTGGTTGTTTATGGCCTGGTGGACGGTTCTTGAATAATAAAGAAAATGTGGTTTGTGGTTGCAGGGAAACGTGGGCTGGCAGCTGGTGTATTTTCTCTCCGAAGCGGTTCCTTCAGTAGATTCTTTATCAGAATGAACCGTGACTGTGAGACGTGCAGAGGTTTCTGCTGAGGGGCGCCCACGCGGGGCTCCTGCCCTGGAAGTCAGCCTGGTGCCCACTTGGTCCTGTTGCCCGTGACTCACCAGGTGGCCCCGTAACGCTGGTGGGCACACAGGAGCTCCCAGCGGTTCCTCGGGGTGGGGGTGGGGGGCGCCCACGGGAACCTGTGCTGGCTGGCTCTGCCAGGTGAGAAGGCGACCTGACCACGGCCACGCACACGGTTAGGGCCAGGTCACGAGGACCTTGTACTGCCCGAGACCAGCAGAACGTGGTCAGGCCCCAGGGCAGGCGGTGCCGGGCAAACCCCCTTAGAGGCTTCGGAGCCTGGGGGCCCCCTCCTGGTTCCGCGGGGCTCACGGGGCCCCTGGTTGGCCCTTTCCCAGGAAGACAGCCCCGGGGTGGGAAGACCCTCCTGTGCAGAAGGAGAGGGAGTTACAGGGTGGCCCACGCAGGGCCAAGTGGGCAGTCCTGCCGGGAGGCCTCGGGGTCCAGGAGGGGGCCGGACCAGCATGTGGTCTGCGTGAGGGCCAGGAGGGCAGCTGCAGGTCCTGACAAGGCAGCAACTCAACGTGAGGCTACAAAGCGGAGTCCGGCAGCCCCAGCCTCCTGCCCACCCCGGGAGAGGACAGCCCGGGGCCTTTAACCGCGGAGCAGGACCGGAGTCACGGGGTGCAGACACACAGGCCTGCCAGCAATAATGTCGTCAGGAAAACAAAGTAACGAGGGACTCAAACCAAAACCCAGGTGTCCTTTGAAGGCCATTTTCACAGCACATGGCAACAGTTTCTCAGTCCGTGAGGACTCCCTCTTTCTCTCCAGTTTCCGGGAAGAGGGGAGGTATATTCCAGAACACGCTGTCCACAGTGACGAGTTCCTGCCCGCCTGCATCACAAGGAGAACAAGAGGAATGTTCTCCATTTAACCCCTATCACGTCTACGGGCAGAGAGCCCCCCACCTCAGCTACCGGGAGGGGAAACGTGTCCCTCGTCCACTCAAACTCTCTCCTTAATTATGAAGATTGGCTTTAAGGCTGCCTCTGCTTGGCATCCTGTCACAAGCTTGCTTAGAAAGCATACAACGTTAAAGGTACTTTGCCCGCTGGTAACAAATACAGTAGGACCTCCAGAAACATTGTTTCACCCAATATCATTTTGTTATAGCATTGATGAGGGGGAAAATGTATTCCGGGTGGGGCCCCATCTGTGTGGAGAGTGCTCCCCAGGTCTGCGTGGGTTTCTCCAGGGACTCCGGTCTCCTCCCTCGTCCCTGAATGTGCCAGTTGGGTGAACTGGCGTGACACAGTTGTCCCCGTCAGTGTGAGTGTGGGTGTGTGGGAGCTGGCCCTGTGATGGAAGAGTGGCCTGTCTGGGGTGGGTGCCCGCCTTGCACCCTGGGCTGCCGGGAGGCCTCCAGCCACCTGGGACCTTGAACCGGAATCAGCAGGTTGGAAAATGATGATCTTGTTTTTATTCATCTTCCTTAAATGTATGTGTAGCTCACATTTATTTCAGTGTTGAACATTAGAAGTGTTTCGGGTCTTTTTTTTTTAATTGATTTTTTTTAGAGGAAGGGAGAGAGAGAGAAACATTGATGTGAGAGAGAGAGACATGGATGGGCTGCCTCCTGCTCGCCCCCTACAGGGGATCGTGACTGCCACGGGGCATGTGCCCTGCGGGAATCAAACTGGGACCTCTCAGTCCACGGGACAACACTCCATCCACTGAGCCACACCGCCGGGCAGAAGTGTTTGGGGTCTTTATATAAGTTTGGTGACGTTTTGGGACCAGAAGTATGCTATAGGAACCGAACTCTTATTCATACCAACGAGCAGAGGGTAACTTGGTTTTGTTACACATCTTGTCATTTCAAGTTGCAGTTTCTGAGAAGCCAGGACAACATGGGGGAGGACTTGCTGTGCAGGCCCCCAGAGGCCTCTCCCGCACCCCCCCTCCCCAGGCCGCCAGCTTACCCTGAGCCAGACGAAACCGGTTCAGGCTTCCCCTCTCTGTCTTCACGTAAACACACAGTGTAGTTCAGTAATGTGATTTATAAAAAGCTTACAAGCGCTTCTTTTTAGATCACATTTGTGCAATGTAAGTATTGCCACAACATATAGGTAATTATTTTCCCCAGCAAGCCCACCCCTAACACGGTGGGGGCCCTGCCCAAGATGACAAGTATCTATGTCTAAATATTTAAAGGATATAAAACAAGCTTATAAACTATTACATAAAGTATCTTACATCTGTCTATTTGACAAGTACACCTTCATAAAGACAAAATAAAAGTTATATGTAAAGCTATGCTATGTAGCAGAAAATTGGCAACACATCAAAGACAAAGGAATTATTGTATACCTCTGGTTGTTCTCTTAATGGGGCACTAGCGCTTGGAAGAGTAGAAAGACTTACATAAGCCATGAGCTATTATGTATATATTACATGAAATTTATTTTTCTAGCCTTCATTTCAGAAAAGTCATCGTTTTGATAATAATGAAGATTTTTACACAATTGTGTTGTATTGACGAGTATGCCAAGTTAGACCACCTTTCCTGAGTCATTATAGTCTGTAGATAGTTTTTAATTATTTCAGTTGGGAGAAACTTCACTTTGCTGAATAGCAACTGGAATTGTCAATAACATCCTTAAAGCTTTAGATTTAGAATTCAACCATGAATATTTAAAAAAAAATTCTTTATTGATTTTAGAGAGAGGAAGGGAGAGGAGAGAGAGAGAGAGAGAGAGAGAGAGAAACATTAATGAGAGAGAACATGGATCAGCAGCCTCCTGCACGCCCTGTACTGGGATCGAGCCTGCAACCCGGGCATGTGCCCAGACTGGGAATCGAACCAGGACCTCTCAGTCCATGGGATGACGCTCAATCCACTGAGCCACACCGGCCAGGCAGAACCATGAATATTGATGTCATGTTTAAGCATTGTAAGGTGTGTGCATGTGAACAATTATCCTTATTGCAGAAAATGTTACCAGGTATTTTAATTTCAGTACATACATTCTTTCACTATCATCACCATTTCTTATAACACATCTAGGCCCACACAGTACTTCTTAGGTTCTTCCCTTTCACACTTTTCCGTGCTGGCATATTATACAAACTGAAGTGCAGTGGGCTGCTCACTTTGTTCAAATCTCTCTCCGGCAGAGACTAGACTTGGATCCACAGTAGCCAGAAAATAGACTCTATGGAAACTAGTTTCGGGATTATTGGAACATGAATCTTCTGAAGACTCCAGCAAATGTTTGCTTCCTATTCTAATGTCCCCACGTTGCATCGGAATGCCATTCTAGTGGGGTTCTGTACACAGACACTTTGTTTCTGAGAGCAGTTTTAGGTTCACATCAAACATGTACGGCCCCCAACATGTACAGACTCCCCACCAGCGACGTCCCCCGCAGCGTGCTGCATTTGGGACAACCAATGAACCTATATCAACATGTCACGATCACCCAAAGCCCACAGTTTACATTCGGGTTCGCTCTTGGTGGGGCACATTCTGAGTTTGGATAAACTGAAACCAGACAGCACGTGGGTCCGGGCCGCGTGTCACTACCTGAGCCAATTAAGCAGAGACCAGGTCAAACTGAGTATGAGTGTCTATTCCAACACTGCGGCGGTATGGGGGAGCACTGGGTCATCCTGCAGAATCTGTTCGCCACCCCCACCCCCGCCCAGAGTCAGCTGCTCTCAAAGGGGAGAAAAACAAGACTACGTGAGAAAAGGTAGTTAGGCAAAAGGGAAAAAAATGGGTAAAGCGGTCACAGGCGGTTACCGTCACGGCTGGAATGCGGGCTGGGATTGCAAAGGTTTCTGGCAGGGGAAGGAATGAGGGCTGGGGATTGCACAAGGTGGGTGCGAGGGTCTCCCCTCCGGGTTCCAATCCTCTGATAGCCCCGCGAGCCGCCTCCGGGGCCCGCTGCTTCGATAACCAGGTCGTTAATCTTTCCATGATGTGGAGCAGTTCCTTCTCGGGCTCAGATAAGGAGCATGGACAGCATTCCTGAGGTCAACTCCCAGGGGCCCTCACCTCCCCGCCGGGTCCGAGGGGGCTTTTCCGTAATCACCACAAAGCCCTCATGATTAACATTTGAAAGATTGATGAACATTTTGTATAACTATGGCCTCACTGTGATTAATTTTTTCATTATTCTAGTCTTCTCTCCGCCCCTTTCAAAATGTGTAATTATATGTTTCCGCCCTCGTAGTATTATACAGAGTATTTTCACTGCCCTAAAAATCCTCTAGGCTTTGAACTGATCCAAACAACGTCACTGCATTAAGCACAGTCATAATTTCTACTAACAAAATCAAACGCTTGCTAATTCCTGGGAAGGGGCCCCTCTTGCCCAAGTCCAAGGGTAGTTCATTCTCAGCATTACTAAAATACTTGGTATAATCCTTATTTCTCAATTCCCCAAATGGAAAAGCACATGATGGTTCCTCACAAGACCAGAGGTCAGGAGTGAGGTGGGTGGTACGACCCCCACAGGTTTAGGAAAGAGCCTGTCCGAGGCTGGGGGTAGGGAAGAGCCCGGGAGCCAGGACCACCTTTGGAAGTTGGTGGGGCGGGGGGACAAGCAAGGTGACAATGTGAGAAACCGTCAAACTTATAGAGAATTTTTGTGAGTTTATTTGAGCCAAAGTGTGGACAATTGCTGAGGAGCAAAACCTCAACAGAGTGAGAAAATGCTCAGGAGAAGGGCAGTTTTGCACCTTATTTTATACATTATAATCAAAGAGGAGGACAGACGTGTGTCACATGAAATCCACTGGTGACAGATTAGGGAGGCAGGAGAAAGCAATTCGAAGAAACCTCTGAGATTGGATAAAAAGTAAAATGGCCCAGTGGTTTGGGCATCGGCCCTCGCACCAGAGTCACAGGTTTGAGTCCAGTCAAGGGCACGTACCTCGGTTGCAGTTCGGTCCCCGGCCCTGGTTGGGGTCATGTGGGAGGCAACCCGTCGATGTGTCTCTCTCGTGTCAATGTTTCTCTCTCTCCACTCTTTCTGAAGATAAATGGAAAAAAAACATATCCTCAGGTGAGGATTAAAAATAAAATAAAATAAGCCCTGGCCGGTTTGGCTCAGTGGTTAGAGCGTGGTCCTGCAGTCCAGAGAGTCCTGGGTTCGGTTCCCACTAAGGGCATGTACCTTGGTTACAGTTTGTCCCCGGCCCTGGATGGGTCATGCAGGAGGCAGCCACTCGATGTGTCCCTTTCACGTTGATGTTTCTCCCTCTTTCTCTCCCTCTCTCTCCCTCCTGCTCTACCTGAGCAAAAAATGGAAAAATGTCCTCGGGTGAGGATAAAAAATAAATAAATAAAATGATAGCCCTGGCTGGTTCGGCTCAGTGGTTAGAGCATTTGCCCTTAGACCAAAGGGTCTTGGGTTCGATTCCCAGTCAAGGGCACATAATTAAGTTGCAGGTTCTATCCCAGAACCTGTTGGGGTTGTGCAGGAGGCAACCAATCAATGTGTCTCTCTCACATCAGTGTTTCTCTCTCCCACCCTTCCACTGTCTTTCAAAAAAAAAAAAAAAATCAATGGTGGGGATTTTTAAAAAAAGGAAAACGACACGTACATCTTTTACATAAGTGGGTGCAGGATAGTCAACAGGCAACAATGAACATGATGGTAACAATGAGGGGATTTGTGGTCTCCGCTCTGGGTGGTGGTTGTGCCCAGAAACAGGGAACATACCCGCACATTCCACGGGTGTGTTATCACAGATGCAAAAGACAATAGCGGGCTCAGGGAAGGTAAATATTGACGTTTGTCAGGGAAGGTGCCAGCCTAGGGCGTGACTGCTGGCCGTGAACTGTTTCAGTGAGAAAGCTCTCCTTTCAGACCATCTTCGTGGTGACTTTAGGTCCCTGAGCTTGTCAGGCCAGCACGTGGCCCCTTCTCCACCAAGGCCCAGGAGGGCAGGATGGATGGTGGGGCCCCATCACCCTAGGGTTTTGGAGGAGCTGGGTGACCTCGGCAAGTGCACAAAGCTTTAAAAGGGCCCAGGAAACGACAGGGCTCGTGAACAGAGAACTCTCTTTCTCTTCCGGGGCACACCTGGCCTGCCTGCGGCCCAGGGGCGCCTCCCTACTGGGGGACAGGGAGCACCCGCGCTGAGGACAGGACAGCCCAGCCCGAGGTGCTGAGAGGCGGCGATCGGCCTCCGCACAGTCAGGTTATTGGCCTGCGGCGCACCAGCGGCTTCGCCTTTGGGGAACCCGGTGGAAAACCCAGAAGGAAGCCGAGAAGCTCCGCGCAGCCGGAACAGCAGGCCAGGTAAGCGTCTCCCCCCGCAGCGGAGCCGGGCACGCCCCCAGCAGAGGAGGAAGGCGGTCCCGGGCTCTGTCCTGCGCTGCGCATGCGTCCGGGGTCACGGCGGGGCGGGGCTGCGCACGCGCCTTGGGCAGTCCGGGGGCGGGGCCGCGCACGCGCTGTTGGCCGGGCCGCGCCGGGCGGTGGAGGTGGGCGGAGGTGAGTGGGGCGTCCAGGCGGCGTGGTGGGCGCGTGCGCGCCGTTGGCCGGCCCTGGTTCCTGCCAGCGCCCGCTGCTGGCCGCCGGCCTCGGCGCCCCGGTGCAGGTCCGCGGGGTTCCGAGTGCGGGTGATCGGAGCCGCTGCCCCGGCGCCGGGGGGAGGACCGGGGACGTCGGGCTGCGGAGCCTGTGGGCTACTGAGCTCCGGGCCGGGGCCGGACGTGCGGGGCCCTCCGCACAGCGAGAGGGCATTTTAGGCCCCTTCGAGGGAGAGTCAGATGTCAGGGTTAGGAATGAAACAGCAGAGACCAGACTGCCTTCGGAGGGCACGTTGAAGGATGGTGGGCCCAGGCCCCGACGGGCCAGGGGAGAAATAAATAAATGCACGTGATGATGGCTCTGAAATCCACACACTGAAACCGGAGAGGGAAGAGGGTGCACGTAAGCCCAGAAGGGAGGGTGCAGGAACCGCGTGTGGGACGCAGCAGAGGCCTAGCCGAGCTGCCCTCGGAACCCCAGCAGAACGGGGACGAAGAAGGGGGCAACCCTGGGTGAGGATTTTGCAGAAATAATGAAAGTTATCAAAACCCAGGTCAAAGACTGCTTCAAGGAGAAGGACAAGCAGAATGAAAAACTTGAAAAAAATTAGATACGTGCTCAAACTGCGGAAAGCCAAAGAGAAACCTTCAGGGTAGCCAGAGGCAAATTCCATAGGCAGATGTGGGGGACACCCTCTAAGGGGGGGGGGGACAGCAGAGTCAATGAGGTGAGCAAACACCAGCGTAGCTGAAGGTTAGTAGTGAGCCTGGTGTGCGAAAGGCAGGTAGGAGAGCCCCCACAAAGAGGCCTCCAGTGTTGGCCAGGGAGTTTATTTTGGAGCCAGTTGGAGAGCCCCTCAGGTTGGAGGCACCCCTCAGAGCCTTGGGTTTTGTAAACTTATGTTGGATATTGTCATGCTTTTTATGCACCTGTTGGAATGACGATGTGGGTTTCTTCCTTTTCCCCATTGCTATCGTAAACGCATCCACTGGCTTCCGAATGTTAAAACCAACCTTACACTCCTGGAGTCGAATCCTCTGAGGCAATGATGCATCGGGCTTCTATATGATTGGAGTCCGTCGGCTAATACGTTGGTCGAGATTTTCGTATCTGGGTCATGAAGGATATCAGTCTGCCGTCTTCCTGTAATTGCTTTGTCTAGTTAACGGTGACAGGGTAACCCTGGCAGTTTTGGTGTGGCCTCATGGAATCACCGGGGAATGGTTTTTTTTCTCTACACTCTGAAGCAGTTTCTGTACGTTGGTACTGTTTCTTCCTTAAATGCTTAACAATTTGTGTTTAAGCCGTCTAGGCATGATTTTTTTTATTTTTGAACATTTTATTTCTTTTTTTTTTTTTTGATCAGTCTAATGAGAGATTATCAACTTTATTTTGTTAATCCTCACCTAGGATATTTTTCCATTGATTTTTACAGAGAGTGGAAGGCAGGCAGGGGAGGGGTGAGGGGGAGAGAGAGAGAGAGAGAGAGAGAGAGAAACATCGATGTAAGAGAGACACATCGATTGGCTGCCTCCCGCATGCACCCTGATTGGGCCCAGGGATGGAACCTACAACACAGGTATGTGCCCTTGACCAGGAATCAAACCTGAGATCCTTCAGTGCAAGGGCCGATGCTCTAAGCACTGAGCAACACCAGCCAGGGTTCAACTTTTTCTTAAACAATTTTAAAAAAATTTATCTCAGAGCCTGGCCAGGGTGGCTCAGTGGTTGAGCATTGACCCGTGCACCAAGAGGTCATCAGTTCGATTCCCAGTCAGGGCACATGCCCAGGTTGTGGGCCAAATCCCTAGTGAGGGGCATGTAGGAGGCGGTCAATTGATGTTCTCTCTCATTGATGTTTCTATCTCTCTCTCCCTCGCCCTTCCTCTCTCTCTCAAATCAATAAAGACAAAAATTTATCTCTGAGAGAGGGAAAGAGAAAAATCGACAGGTTTCCTACCTGTTGAAGATCAACTTTATTGATATTTTGAAATAACCAGCTTTCGTTTTATTTATTTTTCCCCATTGTTTGTCATTTTCTATTTCTTTGATTTCTGTCCTTCATCATTTTTTTCTTTTGATTTATGTTGGGTTTCATTTGCTTTTTCTAGCTTCTTAAGGTGGAAACTTAGATGACTGACTTTGAACCTTCTCCCCCAATTTAAACATGTAAAGCCGTGGATTTTAGAGCAAGCCCTGACCAGCTGCACTCTACGTGTTGATATGCTGTGTGTGTTTTCACTTCGTTAAAATGTTTTCTCATTTCCCCTGTGATTTCTTCTCTGAACTTCGGTCTAATTAGAAGTATATTGTCTAACTTCCACGTATTGGAGGTTTTTCAGGTATCTTTTTGTTACTGATTTTAATGTAATTATTTTGGGGTTGGAGAAGGTACTCTGAGCTCAGCGTTTTTATCGTTTGAGGCGTACTTTACGGCACAGCATATAACCTCGCGGGGAATGTCTCACACGCGCTTGAAAATACTGTGTGCCCCGAGGAGGTCTTGGACTCGCCCTGACCTTGAGGCTCCTTTCCGAGGGCCCCCTTTGTCGTCTTGGTTAGAAGCACGCGGCAGGGGCTTTGACGCGCGGGTAGTTCGGGGTTCTGAAGGCGCCGCCCCTGCATCTTGACCTTGCAGATGGCGCGCGAGGCAGAGCACCGTCCCGTGGGTGTGTTCGAGTGTCAGCTCTGTGCCCTGGCAGCTCCATACAGCTACGTGGGGCAGAAGCCCCCTGACACCCAGTCTGTCATGTGAGTATCAGCGTCCAGTGGCTCGGGAGGCCCCGCACACAGAGCTGGTGGCCTGAGTCTGCCCGGCTCGGGGTGCCTCAGTGCACCCCAGGAGGCACGAGGCGAGCTTGGCTCTTCCAGGACTGCAAGCCTCCTCCACCCGCTCAGCCCAGTGTCCGGCGCTGCTGCAGCCGGGAGGGGGCGCTGTGGCCCTGGCTGGAGTGGCTCAGCGGCGGCACGGAAAGCAGGAGGCGGCTGCGCTGCGCCTGCGCCGCGCCTGCGCCAGGCCTGCTGGCCCTGGGCGGAACGCCAGCCTGCCTGCCTGCAGCCCGGGTGGGAGTGAGTCCCAAGGGCCAGCTTCCTGCGATCTGCCCAGAGGAGGCCTGGAGTAGAGCCAGTGGGTCCCAGGGGCTTGATCCTTGACCTTCAGACTGTCCTGCACCGACGCCACACTATGGGGATGGGGGCCAGTGCATCACTCACAGGGGACCAGAGGCAGGGCGAGGCTTCCTCCTGGCTGGGTCCTCCACTGACCGGGATCTGGGGGTGTCGTCTCCGAACCCCATGGGTCTTCTCTTGTGCAGTGTGAGGCCAGCATCCTACACAGGTGTAATGCACTTGGTTTTCCCTGCGTGGAGGCAGGCAGTTTGGGAGTGGGTATCACCATGGTGGGGGTGAGGGGAGGGCGTGGAGAGCTGGGATGGAGGCCTCGTGGCCCCAGCCAGATCCAGTGAGAAGGTTAGGGCCCCTCTGTCGGCTGAGAGTGGTGGCCCCCAGGGCTGTTTCAGAGCCCAGAACGGGGGCCAGCCCCTCCCCCACTGAACCGGCAGAGGTGCAGCCCTGGAGGTCCTGCCTGCGTCCCAGCACGGCCTCACTCTGTCCCGCAGCCTCCTGGAGGAGAGCTACGTCATGAAGGACCCCTTCACCCCCGACAAGGCCGGGTTCCTGATCCTGGGCTCCAGGTGCAGCGTCTGCAGCCGGCTGGTGTGTGTGGGCCCGGTGGGTGAGCCACGTGTGACTGGCGCCTTCCCCTCCTCTGCCTGGGACCCCACACCCCTGGCTGGGAGAGGTGGCGGTGTGAGCGCCACTTCCCTCGCCGTGGGGATCCTCACAGTCACAAGGGGGCCAGGGGGTTCTTAGAAGCCAGCCACAGAGGGTAGAAGACAGGCAGAGGGGTCAGAGGGTCTCTGTGGGGCTGACGGGTAGAAATAGATTCCTGGAGGCTCTGCAAACCCCCGGTGGCCCCTAATAGTCCCTCCCCGTCCACAGGATGGTGACCTTCTTTCCAGCTGTTCTTGGGGGACCTTCCAGAGCATTTGTTGTACGCCAGGCCCTGGGCTTGGGGCCTGCTGTACCTGCGAGTCTCCCTTCCATCCCGCCCCAAACTAGTTAGATGAAGCAGTATTCCACCCATTCTATGGATGAGGAAGCCGAGGTTCCGAGAGGCTGAGAGGCCAGTTCACCAGCGCAGCTGAGCCCGTTGTGTGAAAACCCAAGGACAGATGGCGAGGTGGGGGTTTAGCTGAGGAGTGCGGCCCCTATAATCTGAGTGACTCTACCCTCAGGTGGGACCCTGAGCATTCTGCCTGGGAGCTGTGTCACAGGCCACATCCAGTCAGTCAGCCTCCAGCATCCCTCGGGCAAAAAGGCTCCGTGCGGAGACTTGGCGGTGGAGGGATCCTCAGCTGAGGCTCCCTGAGTGATTCCCACCTGCCGAACCCTCCGCCACCACTGCCTGCGGGTCAGACCCGGCTGCCTCCCGCCCCCATCATTCCTTTTCTCCTGGGTGAAGACCGTACATTCCTTGAGGTGGCTGGCCAGGCCCCTGGGCCTCGGTCTCCCTCTTGTTTGGCTCTGGATGCACCCCTCCCGCCTTGTCTCCGCCGCCGAGCATCCTGGGGCCCTGCCCAGCCCCGGGAGAAGGCTCCCCTGTGGCCCCAGTACTCCGCTCTCCCCCTCTTCCAGGAGTGCAGTCTGTTCTACGCCAGGAGGTTCTGCCTGCCTTGTGTCCAGGAGAACATCCAGGCCTTTCCTCGGGAAATTCGGCAAGACTTGGAGAAAAGGGCAGTGCCCGCCAGGAGGCCTGCCAGCCAGCCCAGCTCTCAGACCTGAGGGCAGCCTCTCAGCCTGGGTCAGGGCCGGGCCGAGCTGGCCCGTCCGCGGCCTTGTTCCCGGGGAGATGGAGCTGGCCTGCAGACCTCGCACGGGGCACCCTGTCAGCCCAGCCCCTGCTCCAGAGCTGCCCAGTGCTGGGCGCAGGGTGGGAGCCAAGGGCAGCCAAGGCCAGACCTCCTGGCCCCTCGCTCTCCCCGGGGCTGGGCTCCACGCTCCCTGCAGTTACCGCGGCCTGGAGGGCCCTGCGCGCTCTTCCCACCTGGGTCTGATCCGGGACTTGTCTCCACGGGCCAGGCCGTCCCAATGTGGGGGACCCTGTGGTGCTTCCAGCCTCTTCTGTTCTGGCTCCAGTCCGGCCCTGGGCCCAGCTCCACTCCAAGGTACAGGCGTGCCCTCGGCTTCCTGCCCTTGCACCCACACCGGAGCCCAGAGCCATTCTGCACGCCTGCCCCTCTCGGTGAACTCCAACCCCGCAGCCTGCCGACGTCCTCAGCCCCTGCCCAGCTATGCGATGTGCCGGACTGTGAGCTCGCCTTCTGCCTGCTGGTCCTTCCTGGGAAGGCGCCTCCGTCCACCTGGTGGTGGCTGCGGGGCCACTGTACACGGCCGAGTGTTCGCGAGAGAATAAAGAGCCGTTGCTGACCTGTCCGTGTGCTGGGCTCGTTCTCAGACGCCCACAGTTAAAGCCTGCCTCACGTCACTTCCCCCACACGCGTGTCCTGTCCGGGGCCACACCGACCCCGTGCCTCTGCGCTCTGTTCAAGCGGAGGCCTCAGGTGGGGGATGCACGCCAAGGGCTGGCCACGCGGGGCTGGGCTTCAGACCCCACACTTCCACTCACAGCAGCACTCAAACCCATCAAATCCTGTTTAAAAATAGTTTATTTTTTAAACCATTAAGGCAAAACGGTACCCTGAAATTAACTCTTTACATTCATCAGTCTTACAGTAGGACATTCCAAATACGTAAGTTCCCATAAATTCAGGATATAAATCAATATATGTGACCGGTTCAATTTCTTAATGGGAAAATGAATAAGACCCAAGATTTTGAAAAATAATTAGTTATTTTATAGCCGTTTCCTAATTGCCTGGTACCAAGATCAGTCAGCATGGAGGGCAGATCCCATCCCTGTTCGCACACTCTGCTCCCCGGCCTGGGGCCACCCCGCCCCCAGGGCAGCTAAGCTGGAGCGAGGCCAAGCCTGCAGGCAAAGCTCTGCCCTGGACCCGCTGTCCCTACGAAAGGGTCCAGGGTCCGTGGTCCGCCAGCCCAAAGGGCTCTGCGCATCAGGCTCAGGAAGTGATGCGCACACCAGGAGGCCAGCTCAGGCCTTGCATTGGAAATTGCACCGTCCTGACCTGGGTCCAGGGGCGGGACAGGTGCGCACCCAGAGGGAGCTTTGCCAAGAACTGGGAAACATGGGTGGGAGACACGGGGACCGGGGTTTCTGTTGTCTGCTCTGGGGGGGCCGTCGGCAGGCTGCCAGACAACCAGCCGGCGCAGACAGCCCGCCAGAATGTTTCCGATTGCAGTTCTTTGATAATAGCCCACGGGTACCATTGCCCTGCAGAGCAGATGGCTTCTTACCACACAGGCTGTGAAGTGGGGACTTCTAACCTGGGTCTCGGTGGCCTCGCCCGGAAAGTGGGAGGGGACAGACTCACAAAGAAATAAGCCCACGTGGCTCGGGACACGCAGACCTTGGACGTGTCTCAGACTGGGTGCACCCGGCGGTGATACCTCAGCTTCCTGCCGCCAGGAGGTCCGAGGGCCAGGCGGTTAGGAGTACATCTCAATTAACACTGATTTCAAAAACCCAATGCTGGCTATTAGATACATGATTGTAAGTTAGTAAAATATTTATATTAGGATTTTTAAAAAATTCAAATCACAGTATTTAAGACACAGCTATTAACATGGTTCTTTTTACCGTACAGTGTAGAAAAAATAGTGATGCTTGAACATGAATACTGCCATTTACCAAGAAGGGTACTGAGTGGTAGTCGTCTTCTGTGAGGTACGTGTTTGTGGTTTTTTTAGGCCTGAAAAAAGGAATAGACCGACTGTGCTTCTGAAAAGAGAAGGCGTTTCCCCAAAGTGGATAATTTTACGTTGAAAGGATCCCTCGGTCACCTGTCTGCAGGGCCTGAGGCTTGACCTCCCTGCCCCTCCCCCTCACGCCTGTCCCTGGGCGGGGCCTGTCTGCCACAGGCCCCCTGAAACTGTAGTGCATGGAGAGCATGGATTTAGGTGCTGGTGGGCACAGAGGGCAAGGGCGGAGGAGGCTGGTGTATTCCCTGCTCAGGAGAAAAACAGAACTTTTTCACATTTGACCCAAACTAGCAAACATTTTAAATGAAAAAAAAAAGCAACACAGACCCAGGTCTTAATCTGACTCTGATGTAAGAAATGGACGTGTCTTAGGTTTTTTTTTGCAGGTAACGCATTTACCAAGCACGGGCCGCTGAGGGCCTTGATGCCATCAGTCACTTCGTCACCATGTTCGCTCACCGCGGGCGCAGCTGGCCGAGGGTTCCCACAGGACATGGCTGTATTTCGGCGGGACCACATTGGACACCCCCCGTCTCGGGGTGGGGGAGTGCACGGTGGCATCTCTCGTGTCTCAGACTGAAAGTGGAGGAGCACGTGGTCAGCCCCACGCAGGCCGAGGGGCAGCCGGAGCGGCGCGGGGGCGGGGCGGCCTCGCTGTTCCCTGCTGTTCTCGAAGCCGGACACACACAGCATTTTTTTTTTCTTTTTTAAAAAATAAGCCTGCAGCCCACTCTTTACTGAAGTAAAGTCTAAGAAGCCGCTGCATTCCTTGAAAATAGCGTCATGGAAAGCAGTATGGAATTATTTAAACTAGACCGAGAAGACTCGTCTTTTTTTTTTTCTTAAAAAAGTTCCAATATCACATTTGAGTTTTGATACTGTAGCTCCCAGAGAAACACGGGGCTCCGAGCCAGACCAGAGGTGCCGCCTGTCTTCCGTGTTCCACAGGCTGGGGTCGGTGGCCGTGTCCTTGAATTCTAGCGAAGTGGCACCTAAAACACACACGTCAGCAAACTCTTGGCCCCCAACCTTTGGAGCCTAATCGGAGCTCCTCCGGGCAGGTCCCTCAGAGGAGGACGTGCCCTGGGAAACGTTCCTGGACTTGGGAAGAGGAAGCCGCTGCGGACGTGGTGGCATCCGAGAGCCCGGGTCAGGGAGGCGGCCAGCACCGCGCAGGCGGCTGCGTCCACATTTATCTGTCACGAGCTCCGTCTGCGCCTCCCACCAAAGCGCAGCTGGCCTGCCCTCAGCCTCTCTGCTGCAGGTGTCCGTGGGCACTGCACTTCGGACAGTGCTGTCTGAAGGCCACTGTTGCCAGGAAGACGAGAGGCCTCAGAACTGACCGCTCGGTGCAGAGACTTGGGTGGTAGGAATCATTAACCCCAGGGGGGCCCTACAAGTCAGTTTGGACCAAGGGTTAAGCTGGGCCTTTATTTTTATTTTTTGGCTGGGCCCTTTTAAAACAAGGACACAGACAGAGCCTGGCCTTTGGACAGCCCAGTGCCACTGCCATCAGATCCGGGGTGCGGGGGCGTCTCCCGTGGACCTTTTTCCTGACGATCGGCAAGCTCGAAGTTGGTGGCATCGATCTTCGTGCAGTACCACTGCCCCTGCTGGATTCACAGCACTGTGGGGAGCTGGAAGGCTGGCAGCTGAGGCCCGAACACGTGTGGTCGGCCACTCGGCCACCGACGCTCGCCTGGAGGAAGTCGCCCCGCCCCGGGCCCAGGACCTGTGATGCCAGGCAGCCCTCGTCCCTGGGCGGTTGCACTTTGCGATGGGGGTGACTCTCTCCTGAGCCTCTCAAGCAGCCAAGAATCAGGCGATGACCAGAGCTTGGGAAGCAGGAAGGGTCCAGAACAGAGATGGGGAGCTGTGGGCACCTGACACGTTCTCCTGCAGGGTCTGTGTTTGACAGGCCACATGGGTCAAAGATGTGCTTTGAAGGTGGCTGGAAGACCCCCCCCCCAAAGGCCAGGCCCCTGGTCAAGTCTGTTTCAGCTGGGAGTGGGGGACTCATTGGTTGAAACAATGGACCCACGTTCAGACAGGCGCTCCTAAGACACTCCAGAGACAGGTGTGGCCATTGGGTGAAGGCCCAAAAAACCACTGTGCGTCCGGCTGCTAGGCCCAGGGTGCCCAGCATCACCGAGGTGTGCAAAGGGAGAGGGGCAGGAAACCCCTGGCGTCCTGCAGAGGCACAGGTGAGACCTTGGGACGTCCCGGCTGCCCACGGCTGGCAGGAAGGCTCTCCGCCCTGCTCGGAAGGACTTCCCCACCAACAGGCTTCTTCCCCATCAACAGGCTTCCGGCGGCCAGCAGGCTTGGCTGTCGGAGGGGCCCGAGCGCAGGTCCCTGCAGGCCTGGCCTTCGCCGTCCTCCCAGACCCCATCGTGTCGAGCTCCAGGCAGCACCTTCTGCACGTGGGTGTCTATGACGCTCCCTTTAAACAACAAAGTGAGCTCCTTTGGAAAGCCCATTAACCTTCCATTTCCGTGGGAGGGGCCTGCGACCTCTGCGCCCCAGCCGGGCGGGAGCCCGAGCGGTCTGAGCACCTTCACCGCCCAGTGCGTCTGCGTATCCGCTGAGGTAGCTGAGAGGCTGTGGATCTGGGCGGACACCAGTGGCTGAGCTGGTTTACTGGTCATCACACAGCAAACGGGAGGACCCGTGCCTGCAGCTTCTGCTCAGGCCTGAGGCTGCAGCCTCGTCCCTGGGCTTCTGCACAGTCCTGGAGGCCGTGCGGCCGCCGCAGTGTCAGAGGCCCGGGCAAGCACCACATCAGTGCAAGCAGAGAGCCAGGTTCTCTGCTCCTAAAAAAGCAAGACGCCCCTAACACAGGGCTGCTCCGCGGGCATCCCCGAACGCACGGAGCCCTGAGGTCCTCCCGACTCCGCCGTCACTCCTCAGGGGGAGGCGCCGCACTATCCTTGCCAGAGTTCTACAAAGGCCCGGGGAACTGGAGAGCAGCAGGGAAGGAGGAACGGCCCCTGGTGCGCTGACAGCACCCAGGATTCAATGTCCCGAATCCCGCGGTCCTGGGGCCGCAGCATCCTGTTGATGACACTAGACGTCGCCGACTTAGCTTGCTGCAGCGCAGCCCTCACTGGGTGGCGGGTGCAGAATCGGCCTGTGGGAAACCAGCCAGAAATGCCCGGGAGGCACAGCAGGACGGGTAGAGGGCCGGGGGGACCCGAGCCCAGAGCTGGCCGCAGGGTGCGGGGGCATGTCCGGGAGAGCCCCGCTGGCCTTTCGCTGTCATCAGCACTGGAGACTAAGGCTGTCCGGTGACTCGGTGGTCTCCGAGGGGTGGGCACTCTTTGCCATCGAAGTCAAGAGCACGAAGAAGCAGGCTGACAGAGACTGGCTGAGGCGCGGGCCACGGGGGCGTTCGGCCCAGAGGCGGCGGCATCACAGTGGAGGTGGGAAGCCCCGGGAGCCTGTGAGGATGCTTCGGGGCCCTTGGGCTGATGTTGACTGACACCAGCAAGCGCCCAGGCACCCTGCCCAAGTCCCCGCTGGAAACACTGCAGGACGCTGAGCTGGTGATGACCCCTCTGCATGCGACTGCCGACACTGAGAAATCTCATCAGCTGGCCCAAAACATTCTGAGTGGCAGTCAGTGCCTCTTGTTTAAAATGAATGCGAGCCCTGGCCGGTTTAGCTCAGCGGTTAGAGCGTCAGCCCGTGGACGGAAGCGCATGGGTTCGATTCCTGGTCAAGTGCACATAACTGGGTTGCAGGTTTGAACCCTGGCCCCAGCTGGGGTCGGGCGGGAGGCAAGCCATCGACGTGTCTCTCTCACATCGATGGTTGTCTCTCTCCCTCCCTTCCATTCTCTCTAAAAATCAATGGGAAAATATCCTCGAGTGAGGATTAACAACAACAACAACAGAAATTTTAAAAAATGGATGGGAATAAAAGTGAACAATGGCAAGTGACATCCAAGCTGAGGTCACTTGTGGCCTCCTCTGTGGCCTCCCCAGGGACACAGCTGGTTGTCCAGCCAGGTCCCAAGAGAACCAGCACTCGGAGGCCACGGGCGCACAACTCGCGCCTCCAGCCACGGGACGGTTACTGCAAAAGCGTGAGACATTTGGATGGGTTTTATGAAAATCTGAAGAGTGAACTACTCTTCTGAAAGCCTGGGTCTTGAGGCCAGTGGTTGGTGGAGGCAACACAAGTCCAGCCTCGGAATCCACCCTCGGCCCCGCGACCTCGCAGACACAGCTCCGGCCTCCCCGCCCCCAGCGCCAGGGAAGAACACCGACATCGATGCTCCACGGGGCTCCAGGCCTAGCTCCCTCCGGACCGGGAAGACCTCTGCATGGCATCATTCATAGGTGGAAACACTTTTATTTGCTTCCAGCAGATAATTGATTGAATCTTAAAAAAAAAAAAACAGCCCTGGCCGGTTTGGCTCAGCGGTTAGAGTGTTGGCCTGAGGTCCCGAGAGACCCGGGTTCGGTTCCCGCTGAGGGCACGTACCTCGGTTGCAGTTTGTCCCCGGCCCGGGTTGGGTCGTGTGGGTGGCAGCCACTTGATGTGTCCCTTTCACGTCGATGTTTCTCTCTCTCTCTCTCCCTCCCACTCTATCTGAACAAAAAATGGAAAAATGTCCTCGGGTGAGGATAAAAACAAAAAAACAAAAACAAACAAAAAAAACTATATGCGGAATTTTGGAAAGGATGTCCTAATTGTAACTTTCACTTTTTTTTTTCTGGTTGAAGCCTCCCAGTTTTGTTCTGCTGGGGCCTTGTCCTAATGCTGATCTTGGGAACTTGACCAACATCAACCCTAACCCTTCATTAACAATACATGCTAATGGCCTGAAAGAGCAGATCTTTGAAAGACGGAGGGGGAGGGTGTCAAGGTCAGAAGAGCCGGTAAGGGCTGTGGGCGAAGTGCCGGCGGCCCCCGTGCCCACGCCGGTGTCGGCAGGCGGGCTGCCGAATGTCTGAGGGGACAGTGGATCCACTAAGGGGACAGAGAGAGTGCTTCCTGGTCACGTGCTCTGGCCACGGTCACCATGACTGTCACAAGCAGACCGAGGCCGAGGAGTTGATCTTTGAGGCTGAAACAAAGATTCTACATGGAGAAACCACCTGACCTGTGAGGTTGGAAAGGACACTTCACTGGCCACCTGTGTGAAAACCTGTCGTGAATCCTGAGACCATGTGACATCACCTTCTAGAGGACCCCACGCCCCCACCCGCCGTCCTCCTGTGGCCCTCCCCGCTCTATAAAGTCAGGTTCGTCTCATGCTCTTCGCTCAGAGAGCGGCGACCACCAGAGTCACAGAAACAAAGCTGCGGATTTTAAAAAGCAACACAGGAAAGACCGAGGAGCTGCCTGGCACGCGGGGATTCGTCAGGCGCCCTGACAACACTGCCGTGGCCCCCAACAGCCCCCTGGGCGGGTTCAGATCTGAGAGCAACCAGGTGAGAGGACGGGGCACTGAGGTACTTTCGAGCCGGCACCGTCCTGCCCACCGGTACCCCCTTCGCAGGCCTGCGGCCCAGGCCAGAGCCGGGTGCGGTTCCTGGGACCTCCCGCACGAACCCGGACACGGCTTCTCCGCGTTCTCGCTGCCGCCATTCGAGCCGGAACCGACCCGGCACCCCGGCCGCACTTCACTAGCTTATCACACACTTGAAAGTCTGAGTCTCACGATTAAAAAGGAGCGGCTGTCTCTCTTCGGATTCAGGAAACGGAATCGAAGCCTTCCGAATAAATATGTGGCTGCTTTAAAAAGACCTAACCTTTGGTTACATCTAGATAGACGGGGTTACAAAAGCTAAAAAGTGCCGATTAGTTTCCAGATTGTGCAGGAGCCCAGCAGCCAGCACTGGTCCCGGGGAGGGCGGACGCCTGGCCGCCCGGCGGTGAAGCGCCGACCGATCGAAAGGCACCGGCGCTGATTTAGCCCCAGGCTGGTTCCAGTCAGGCAGCTGAGCATCCTTCTCCCGAGCCCTCTAACCCCGCCGTCGGCGCCCTCAGGTGCGAGCTGGGAAGGAGGGAAGGCTGTGGAATGGGGCCGCGGTTACCTAGACACAAGCTCTGTCCGGGGGTTGAAGGGCGGACATGGGGGCGAAGTGGCCTTGATCCCATTTCTCCTCTGCCAGGCTGTCACCTTCCAAAGTTCCTCTGTCCTTGTGCTGTCGCGGGAAGTCAGTACATGTCCCTGTAGATCTCCTGCAGCAGGGGGTGCAGCGCGGCGTCCGACTCCGTCCTCTTGATGACCTGCACCAGCTGGGCGTGCTCGGTGACCAGCTGCCGCAGGTCCGCCATCTTCTGAAGAAGTTTCGGGAACAGAAAGGTGTCGTCTGGGTGGTTGTTCTGCAGGTGGAGTCTGAGCACGTGCACGATCCCCTCCTGCATGCTCTCAATCTGCCCGACGTTCAGGAGGCCCGGGCGGTCTACCCCAAAGGAAAGAACAGCCCAGTGAGTGATCACCACGGCAACGCCTCCAGGCTCCATCGCAGGAGACCCCCACGTCCTCTTTCACCTGCCTTTCTCCCCTGAAGCTTCGGGGCCCAGACGACACAGACCTGACTACAAGACAGCCAGAGGTTTCCAAGGTCACGCGGTCTCACCGAGGCCGACTGTAAACCGACTAGACCTTACATTTGCCTGGTTACCACCTGTCAGGTGAAAACCCCACACACTGGGGTAAATAACACTCCGATGGTGATAACCACCACCAGTTGTGCATAATATGGGAGATGAAATTCTTCCTCCTGAGGCAAAACTAGATATTCCGGTTCAAGTTTTTCACCAATGTTTCAGGACCCTGCCATGGAAATCTGGGGTTCGTGGTATGAAGCACCGTTACAGGGTTCCTGACAGCACCCAGGTGAGCAGAAGCAGAGGGAGACACGAATGGGGGGCAGATGCAGGTGGGGGTGCCAAGACCCGGGGCAGGAGGGCTAGTGCAGGACAGGCCAGTGTTCCCACCAGCTGACCTCCGTGGGGGAGCTCGCCCATGGGCACCACACTTTCACGACAGTCTCAGACCAGACGTCTTGCCCTTGGTCCAGAGTACCCCTGCCCCCGGCCCCAAACCATATTCAATAGGCAGTTTAAAGCGCCACTCACGACTACCATGTTCAAAAGCACTGCTCACAATGTGGATTTTTCTTTTCTTTCTGGTTGTAAAATATATATACAGTTTACCCTTGAACAAAGCGGGGGTTAAGAGTGCTGACCCCTGTGCAGTCAAACATACATGTCTAACTTTGGACTCCCCCCAAACTTAACTAGAGCCCCTGGGTATCTGCAGGGGATCAGTTCTGGGACCCCCCATGGACACACAAATCCACAGCTGCTCAAGCCCCTTATAAAATGGTGCAGATCAATGCACAGTCGGCCCACGAAGTCCCAACCAGGGACTGAAAATACTGTTCCCAGCCTGCATCATTTTATTAACCAATGTCACCGCAATAAATTCAATACAAAATTTTTTTAAAAATACTGTTTTTGATCCATGGTTGGTTGAATTCATGGATATATACCGGGGGACATGGAGGGTCAACTGTATATTTATTGAAAAGAATCCAAGCCTACGTGGACCCATGCAGTTCAAATCCATGTTGTTCAAGAGTCAACTGTAATGATTCAACGTTTTAAACAGAAATAAAATAAATAAATAAAGTGACCCCCTCTCATAATTTTAACCCCATCATAAAAGTTTATGGTTGTATCTCACCAGACATTTTTTTTTATCCTCACCCAAAGATATTTTTCCATTGAGTTTTCAGATAGGATGGGAGAGAAGGAGGGAGAAGACAGAAACATCTGATGTGAGAGAGACACATCGATTGGTTGCCTCCCACACGACTGACCAGGGCCAGGGATCAAACCTGCAACCGAGGTATGTGCCCTTGGCCAGAATCGAACCCGCGACTCTGGTCCACGGGCTGATGCTCTAACCGCTGAGCCAAACCGGCCAGGGCTCACCAGACATTTTCTGTATTGGATTGATATATGACTATAACTTCTTTTATGAACGTGTGATCACCTCATATAAATAGTTCAACGGCTTGGTAGCCACAACACACGTCCCGCCGACCAGAGGCCCGTGACGGATCGGCACAGCTGCGCCATGCCACACTTCTGCCAGAGCGTCGGGGCCCCCACCCGACTGCCCCGCTGGGGGAGCCAGGACAGACCTCGTGGGGCTGCGCTGTCCTCACCCAGCGCCCTGACGGCGTCTCTGCAGTGGCGGCAGGCTCGATTCTGAGTCTACCACGGGGCCAGCGCAGCTTCCAGAACTGGGGACAGGAGCCCCATCGGTCTCCCCGAACTGGGTAAGAGCAACAGACTTTACAGTAGGGCACTGACTTCTTAGACCCGGGCCAGTGCCATGTAAAGGAAAGTGACACGGGGCCAGAAATGTGGGGGCTGCTAAGCCAGCTTCCTGCAGAGAGGCCCAGACTTCCCTCCTTGGGATCACCGCCTTGAGCCGAGCACACTTGGTGACTGCTGTGGTGAGCTCCCGACGTCCCTTGTATAGCAATAGTGACCGCACGGGTTCCCACCTGCACGGGGCCCTTTATAGAATGCTGCGGTAATACAGCTGTAACACTGTAACAGTTACAATATACAGCCCTGCACTGCTTGCTTAACAGCAGGGTGCGACCTGAGACCCACGTGGCCGTGCCAGCGTCACAGCGCACTGACACCTAGACGGGCAGCCCGCCGCACCCTGGCGCAGGGTCCAGCCTGGCGCCCCGGGTGCGGCCTGCACCGCGTGTCGCGGCACCAAACCCCCCGGGTTAGTGCGGCACAGGAGGAAAGGACGTGGTCAGGACATAAACACGCGATGTGGAGGCTGCTGCCGGCGTACCACGGCCCCTGCCACGGAGATCGCATCTTCCTCCTGAGTGGGAAGCGTGCCCTCTACAGTAACGGTGCCAAGTGCACTGCGGTGGACGCACCGCCAGGAACGGTCGTCTGTGACCGAGCGTTAGGCCCCGCACGAGCGTGTGCTCACAGGTGTGTCACACCAGTGTCGCCACAGGCGCTGCCGCGGCCTCACCAGGCGACAGGAACTTTCAGCTCCGTTCTACTCTCGCGGGACCACCGCCGTGTGCGGGCCACGCCGACCAAGGTCTTACGCGTCCGTCACATGGCTGTATCGTATTTATACACCATACATTATCATTATCGATCACACCTGACACACTACTTGCTATGGTTATGGTATGTTCTAATTATAAATAGAGTATACAGCCCTGGCCAGTTTGGCTCAGCGGTTAGAGTGTCGGCCCATGGACCAGAGAGTCCCGGGTTCGGTTCCCGCTAAGTGCACGTACCTCGGTTACAGTTTGTCTCTGGCCCCGGTTGGGATCATGTGAGTGGCAGCCACTTGGTGTGTCTCTCTCACATCGATGTTTCTCTCTCTCTTCCTCCTTCTATCCCTCCCACTCTATCTGAAATAAATACAAAAATGTCCTCGGGTGAGGATAAAAAAAAAACCATAATAAAAATGAATAAGTAAATAAATATTGTATACATTTATATGTTATAAGTAGAACATACATAATGACATGTGATGCGGGATCAGTGTAACGCATTGCTCCCAGTGAGTGGCGATCAGGGACTCAGACGCCCCGACCCGCCAGCGCCTGCTCCACGGCCAGCGTCCACGACGGGAGCCTGTAAGTGACACGGCACCAGCAGGTTAAATCAGCCACTTACCTCCGCAGCAGATTATAGCAGCCACGAAAAGGGAGATGTCGCTGTCGTCCAGTTCCAAGGCGTTGAACTTCATGGCGAAGTCGAACTTGGGCTCCATGATGTCACAGAACGGTTTCCGGAGGCTCTTCAGGAACTCGCGCGTTATGAACCCATTTCCGTAGGCCACCAGCATCCCGTCTTTGTTCATCACGGACGACAGCATGGCGAAGATGGCCTCGTACACGCCGTACTTCAGCAGCGTGACCTGGTCGTTCAGGTCCAGGTTTGCGAAGCCGGGGATGGCCTTGGCGAACTCCGTGAGCTCCGTGACGGTCTCCACGGATGTGCACTGACAGCAGTGGAAGATGCGCACCTCCGCCTCCTTGTTCTGGATGCCGTTGGCCACCAGCTTGGCCACCAGCGTCTTCTCGGCCATGCACAGCGTCTCCATGTCGTGGATGACGAAAGGCTGCAAAGGAAGGCGCAGGAGGCAGTCAGGTAACTGGGGACAAGCTGTCCTGCTCATCGGTGAGCCGGCAGAAGCCGCTGTGCCCGGCCGCCCAGGAGAGGCGCGGTGCGCCGGGAATGCAGCCCCGTCCTTAGGAACCTCAGTCAGCGGGACGAGAAACCGCGCAGAGAGCTAACCGCAGAGCCCGGTGACAGCTAACAGCCCCCGCCCCACCCTGGGCGGGGCTGGTGGGGGCTTCACTGCTAAGAACGTGAAGTACTGACTTGGGCAATAAAGCTAACAAGAGAATATTAGCAAAGTGCGTTTACTGTTTTATAATGTTCTCTGAATTCCTAAATACTACTGCAGTAGCCTTAATTACCGTCATCCTCAATTTTACCATTTTATGCACTTTACGGAAAACTACATCTAACACTGGCTGTTGGATGAATGTATTCGGCATGTAGGTCTGTGCAACTCAGGAAGCTGGCATTCGTGCAGAAAAATGCAAGCGAGCTGTGCTGACGCCCTGAGACCTTCGGGCCGAGCCCCAAGTTCTGGAACAAGCGGAGAGCCGCCGGCAGCAGGCTACACGTCCCCACGCCATTTGCTCCTACCACTGGTCCTGCACTGTACGAGGATCCGGGGAGGGAAGAAGAGACTGCTGGCCATATGATTTGAAGCCGGCACGCCCAGAAGGGCACACCCGTCTGGCAGGGCTCAGAATGGGCACATGTGCCACCGCTGGCCAGAATCCATGCCAATGTGTGTGCAGAGCAGTGCAAAGAGGTGCCACCTGCTGAAGTACGCGAACAGAACACACGAGCAGCCTGTCACTTTAAACATCACTGCCCACGGGCATTGCCACATGCAACCCTACCTCTGGGCTCACGGAGCACAGAGAATCACAGCGCCTGCCACCTGCAGGCCCCCGTGGCTGCCTGGCACGCAAGCGGCGGGTGTGCAGGGGCAGTCTGACGGGTCGCCTTCGAAATGCTTTAACAATTAGAACGTGTGGTGTTTGGGAAGATAGCTCCACATCTGAGGCAAGGGGTTTGGTTTTGTTTTTGTTTTTTTTAATCCTCAGAGGATATTTTTCCATTGATTTTTAGATAGAGTGGAAGGGAGGGAGGGAGAGAGAGAAACATCAACATGAGAGAGACACATCTCACACGACCCCGACTGGGGCCAGGGATCGAACCTGCAACCCAGGTACGTGCCCTTGACCGGGAATCAAACCCGCAACCCTTTGGTCCTCAGGCTGACGCCCTAACTGCTGAGTCAAACCGGACGGGGTGCCAGGGGGTGTTTTTGAAATTACTGTGAATGGGCGAAAACATTATGCAGCAACATTTACAGCCAAATTCCTAAGCATCTCGGAGTGAGGAAGGGAGGCGAAAACGGCCTCTCCCTGAAGACCTGAAAAGAAGTCCGCTCACCCTTGTCTTAAAAGTCTGGGGCAGTTCCGCTGCCCAGGACGCTGGAGCTCAGGTTTAAGGTGCCAACGTTCACAGGATGGGCGACAGAGTTGTTCTGAAAGGGCGGATGGCAGGAGCCCTCGGTTCCAGAAAACAGACTGTCAGGCCACCTTGACTTGAATGAAGCCACTGGCTTTTTTTTGGTCCGTGCCCCTAGCGGGATCCGAACCCGGGACTCTCTGTTCCGCAGGCCAGCGCTCCCACCGCTGAGCCAGGCCGACCAGGGCTCCACGGGCTTTTTCAAGTGCATTCAGCAAGGAAAAAAGTGTTTTGTTTTTTTAATAAAAGAGTTTCACGGTCAAAAAATGTTGAGAAACAGCGAGTTAAAAGGCGCAGGGCCTCCCAGATTTGTAACGTGCGTGGGCTGTGGACTTGGACCCCAGGGCAGGGCGAACATGGTTCCCAAAGTGTCTGGTTACAGGACTCCCACAGGGCCCAAGTGCAAAGTGAAGCCAGGGAGCCCTCTGTGAAAAAACGGGTGAGAATTTCAAGACAGCAACCGCTCAGCGCTCCGCCCAGCGTGGGCCCCGAAGCAGGGCTGGGGAACAGACACCGCCCCGGGCTGGCCCCCCGACGACTTTTATGGGAAACGCAGTCTCATAAAGGTGGGCTCAAATGGTAACAGATATTTCATTTCACTTTTATAAAATCATCACTTGGATTTTAGAAGGCAGACCTCATTAACTGGCAAATTTGCAAACCAGCTGACTTCAAAACAAGCGGTAACGTTCAGAAGCCAATGCTCACGAAAGCTCGAGAAACTGTAGCTGAAATACTCGCACGACTGCCAGACGTTACCGACAAACACTCATGACAGCGCGACGTGAAAGGTCCGTGCAGCTGATATTTCACTTTGGAGTGTGCCTCTTACTCAAGTCTGAATAGGAACGCATCTGACCTTGCGGTGGTCGTTTCAAACGAATACACGAAGCACGAGTACACAAAGCACAAACACACGGAGCACGAGCACACGGAGCACAGAGTACGAGCACACGGAGCACAGAGTACGAGCACACGGAGCACAGAGTACACGGAGCACAGAGCACGAACACACGGAGCACGAGCACACGGAGCACAGAGCACGAGCACACGGAGCACGAACACATGGAGCACGAGCACACGGAGCACGAGCACACGGAGAAGAGAGCACGAGCACACGGAACACGAGCACACGGAGCACGAGCACACGGAGCACAGAGCACGAGCACACGGAGCACGAGCACACGGAGCACGAGCACACGGAGAACAGAGCACGAGCACACAGAGCACGAGCACACGGAGCACAAGCACACGGAGAACAGAGCATGAGCACACGGAGCACGAGCACACGGAGCACGAGCACACGGAGCACAGAGCACGAGCACACGGAGCACGAACACATGGAGCACGAGCACACGGAGCACAAGCACACGGAGAACAGAGCACAAGCACACGGAGCACGAGCACACGGAGCGCGAGCACACGGAGCGCGAGCTCACGGAGCACGAGCACATGGAGCACGAGCACACGGAGAACAGAGCACGAGCACATGGAGCACGAGCTCACGGAGCACAAACACACGGAGCACGAGCACACAGAGAACAGAGCACGAGCACATGGAGCACGAGCACACGGAGCACAAGTACACGGAGCACGAACACACGGAGCACGAGCACATGGAGCACGAACACACGGAGCACGAGCACACGGAGCGCGAGCACACGGAGCACAAACACACGGAGCACGAGCACACGGAGAACAGAGCACGAGCACACGGAGCATGAGCACACGGAGCACGAACACACGGAGCACGAGTACACGGAGCACGAGTACACGGAGCACGAACACACTGTGAGAACTGTAAACAGCTCGAGGCACAGAGCTGCCCACCCCACGCAAGGCCGGCAGGCTCCCAGCTCACGCTGCTCACACCCACCCGTCCTGTGTGTGCTACGATATTTCTTATAACAATCCGTTTCCAAAACACCCTGAGTCAGCATTTCTACGAACAGTTAGGCAGTGTCGTCGTCTAGGAAACATCTGTGAGTTACTAGCATTACTTCGGATGAAATTATTTAATGAATGTTTGTTATACGTTTCTAGGAACAGTATAAAATACTAAGTCTGGTTTTCAATCCAAAGACAACTTAAGCAGTATGCATACTATGTCAACCAAGTGCGAGGGAAAGCCCACGGGTGCCAGGCAGCGGGTCCAAGGGGCAGTGCTGGCCCAGGAGGGGGCCGGGCTGGGTCCAGAGGGCCCCAGATATTGGGACTAATGCTGGGACTCCTCCTCCGCCGCTCATCTTAGAACCTGTTCTCAGCCACATGTCGAAAATTAGTCTCCTTGCTTCCTTTTTTTTTTTTCTCTCTTCCAAACAAGACACTTTACTGTGTGACTCAGTTGGCATACCAGGCTGGCTGCAAATGACTCACAGTTTAGTCTAAAATCCAATTACATTCTCAGAGGATAAACACTTTTCGTAACTAAAAATACTCAGACACTAAAGACAATTCCTGACAATCTTGAGTAACATGGGGATCTTTCAAGTCAACATATGCTGCCGCCTTCATCTGAACGGAATCGGGTCCTGATACACTTGCTGGATTTTATTAAAAAGTAGCAGCAACGCTTGGCTGTCACCTTCTATTCTGAACTGCTCAAGTCTAAGCAGCGCTGAAGAGTCATTGTTTTAACTGAGGACCCGCACCCATTTTTTTATTAATTTATTTTTGTTACAAATGTTTCTCCTTTTCCTGCACCCATTTTCCAGAGATGAGCTTGCTACCAAAACCAGGGGCAGCCAAGACTAAGTGAGAATGAGGGTGCATGTGTGAGAGTGCATGAGTGTGCATGAGAGTGCATGAGTGTGTGTGCACATATGTATGTGAGTGCATGAGTGCATGAGTGAGAGTGCATGAGTTTGCATGAGTGAGGGTGCATGAGTGTGCACATATGTATGTGAGTGCATGAGTGTGCATGTTTGTGAGAGTGCATGAGTATGAGTGTGTGCATATGTGAGTGTGCAGGGCGTAAGTGTGCACGAGTATGCGTGTGTGTGAGAGTGGCGTGTGTGTTGTGAGAGTGCATGTGTGAGTGTGCATGAGGGTGCATGTGTGAGTGTGCATGTGTGCCAATGCACTTGTGTGCTGGGGCCTGAGCCCTTAGCAGCCGGGAAGCAAACAGCACAAGACTTCGAAGCTCCAGGGCATCTGGTCTGCGGCTGCTCCCTGGAAGACCCGCCACCCCACACCTCCCCTCAGCCCAGTGCCTTTAAAGGCTCTGGAAAATCCCTCCTTTGGAAGTCATATTCAGAGGGGAGCCATGTTCCCCCAGCTCCTCAGTGACATCTGTCCCTGTCCCCATCAAATCAAGGGGCAGTGAGGGCCCTGACAGGCTCCGAGCTGACGGCGAAGGGCCTGCTCACTTTGGGCTCCGCGCTCTGAAGTCTCAGGGGCTCGAACCAGCCTGTGCCCAGATGGAAACAGACACGGGCTCCACCCCTCCACCCACCCCCCTCAGCTAAAACCCATCTTTCCCCAAGCGACTGAAACGACCGGCTTCCAAGCGGCCCCTGCCTCTGCTGAGAGCCCTCAGTGCGGCCCCCCTGGTCCGCCCGGCATCCTAGCAGGTTCCCAGTCAACGTCCAGCCTTAGCCTCACTGACCCCCGGCCACGGAGGACGTTGCCACAGAACAAAGGCGTGGTCCAGTGCAAGCATGAATTCGTCTCCCGCTTCTAGCAAACCAGCGCCTGCCTTCAAATTAAAAATCTGCGCAGCACCTCGGGGCCAAGTCCGGGTGACAGCTCAGGAGCTCCCTGCGCTGGCCTGGCAGGCCCTGCAGGGCTTCTCCTGGGCTGGGGGGAAGAAGCCCCACCCTGAGTGATGGCAAAGCAGCCCCTCCCTGCTCCGGGGTCAGTGCCTGCGCCCCGACAAGTTCAGGGTGTGTGAGTAAATCTGTTTACAGCCTAAACAAATCCATAATCCCCTCATCCCACAACACACCCAGGCGGGCTGGCGTCCTTGCAGCTCCGTCCACACTGGACACATCCTCTCCAAACCCCAAGCTGGGTACTTGAGAAACAGGCTTGCTCCCTGACCCGTGCCAGTGTGCGGAGCTTCAGGGAGGACGGTCGCATCAAGGTGACTAGGTCAGGATCAGCCTGGTCTCCCCCACAGGTTCCCCACCAACAGACTGAACTGCTTTCTAAAGCAAGGGAAATGTTTAGGCTGCAGTCCGCAGGGTCCACTGTGGTGACAAAACCTAGGCTCTGGGCAGAGATTCAGGCAGGGATGGTGGGCGTCCCGCCCGTCGGCTCCTTCTCCTGACTGAGCCCATAGAAACGCAGAGGCCGCGCCACCCCGGGAGCTCCGAGTGGGGGACACAGAGAGGACCCGCGGTGGGAGGTGAGCCTGGCTCGGAGCAAACCGTGCGACACCTGGACATGTGGTCGGCAGGTGCGGGGCAGGGGCAGGCACCCCCCTAGCAGTGCACTGAATCCTGTCTTTCCGACACCGTGAAGCCCAATCCCAGATGACTGGCCCATTATTAATCTCCTTAAAACCAAAAGACAGATTCTTCTCGGAGGGTACCTGCTGCCCAGACGCCGTCGGCTCTGGCCGAGGGAGACGGGGCTCCTTCTGGGACGCGTGGATCTCAGTGAGTCTCCCAGAAGGACACTCCAAGTGAATCAGATTAATATTCAACACGAGTGTTTAGTTAAGAGTAAGGATGAGCCCTGGCTGGTGTGGCTCAGCTGGGTGAGCGTTGACCCATGCGCGGAAGTCACTGGTTTGATTCCTGGTCAGGGCACATGCCCAGGTTGCGGGCTCCATCCCCAGCAGGGGGCATGCAGGAGGCGGCCATCGATATTTCTCATTGATGTTTCTCCCTCTCCCTTCCTCTCTCTCTCTCTCTAAAATCAATACAAACATATTTTAAAAAGCATAAAGATGACTTTTAAGTTCGCTTTAAATCCTGAAAATTCAAGGGAGAAAGAGAAGATCTAGAAAGATCTGAAAAGATCTGAAAAAGCCCTGGCCTGCTTGGCTCAGCAATTGGCGCGTCGGCCTGCGGACCAGAGCGCTGTGAGTCTGATTCCTGTCAAGGGCATGGACCCTCGGTTGCGGTTTGGTCCCCAGCCCAGGTGGGGGCCCTATGGGAGGAAACCAGTCGATGTGTCTCTCTCACATGGTTGTTTCTCTCTCTCCTCTCTTCCTCTCTCCTTCCCTCCCTCCCACTCTATCTGCAAATCAACCAAAAAAAAAAAAAAAAAGAAAGAAAAATACTTGGGTGCGGATTTTATAAAAATCAAAATATTTGGTTACTCTAATTTTGGGCTACACTTACTAATCCATTTCAGGATAAAAATGCTAAGTTAAAAGATTAGCTCTGGCCGGGTAGCTCCGTTGGTTAGAGTGTCATCCTGATTCGCCAAGGTTGTGGGTTCGATCTCTGGTCAGGGCACATACAAAAAGCAACTAACGACTCAACAAGTGGAACAACTAAGCCATCTCTCCAGCCCCCGTCCTCTCTCTCTCAAATCAATTTTAAAAAAAGGTTATTTTGCTTTAACCCCTGTGATCCAGAAAGGGTCTGATGTGCACGACCCTCTGGGCTGCCGTTGCGGGCGAGGCTCCCCGGTTTACGAGAGTTCGCGTGAACCCTCCTAAAATGCCCCAGCCTCTAACGGGAGAATGCACTGAAGAATGAAAAGACTCAGTAAAAAAGAGGTTCGGTTTGTTCATGAAAGTAAGGAGCTTGTGAAATGCTTTATTTTCCTGTGACTAGAAATTCCAGCTTGTAATTCCCAGTAAGGATTTGCTGCAAGCTATTCATTAGCACAGATGAAACCTGTTACACTCGGCTCAGCGGAAAACGCCAAGTGTCTGTATTTGCCAACCGCGGGCCGTCCCCCTCTTTGAAGGCAGCTCTGAGATTAGTCCCGAAATGGAGACAGATCTGGTTACGGATGGGGTGAGGGCGGGGTGACGCTAGGCTGGGCAGGGGGTGAGGTGCAGGGGGTCCCCAAGGGGCACTCACAGAGGCTCCCGAGGAGGTCCAGAACAGTCCAAAAAGACAGTCAGGTTTCTATAAACAAACACCCTTTGCAAGCCCCGAGATGCCACTATATCCTCAATGAAGAGAGAGGTGTGGGGGGGTCAAGGGGAGGCAGTGGTTTGGGGAGAAGGGCTACAGGAACACCTTTTGGATGGGAAGTGAATGGTTCCATTTTCTGTTATTAAAATGGCATAATGGGGATTTTTAGAAAATGCACTTCAGAAACAATCCTAGAATCTGGCAGCTATTAACTAGATTGGGGGGGGGGCTGTTAATTACACAGTCATTAGAATCACTTGGTTGCTAGGAGCATTTGGGTAGATAAAGCCCAGAAGATAGGATTTGTTGTCAAGCTACATTTCGGACCTCTGAATGAAGTATTTCCATCCCGTTGTCTCTTGGTTGCCTCGGGGGTAAATATTACTTTCCCAGCGTTTGGTACCCGTGTTCTCAACCCTCCCCTACTCTGGCTGACACGTCACCAACGGAACACTCCAGACAGACGCTACCACAGCAGAGACACCTACTGGGTTGTTGCTGGCCTTCCCGGCGAGGATGACCCTGGCCTTGACCTTGTTCATGTTGAAGTTCTTCAGGTAGGCCTCGTAGATCCTCTTGGCGAGGGATTTGAGATCCGCAGTTTCAGAATCTTCTATGTCATGTTCACACGTAAGGATTTCTGCTTTCAATTTTGCTTTCTCAGATCTGGGCATTCGTCCAAACCGGATTGCTGGGAGTGGAGGGAGAAACGGGATAAGGGGCGAACAAGCAGGCAGGACGTTCACAAGCGAGTGCGGCTCTGAGAACACGGACAGGTAAGGTCAAATCCGCCTCTCCCTCCCACTCGACTTTCCACTTTGGGAGAGATGAAAGTGAAACTGCATTAATCCCGGACCTGTTCGGACGGTTACAATAAAAAGCAACAGCCCGGCCCTGGCCGGTTTGGCTCAGCGGTTAGAGCATCGGCCTGCGGTCCGGAGAGACCCGGGTTCGGTTCCCGCTAAGGGCATGTACTTCGGTTGCAGTTTGTCCCCGGCCCTGGTTGGTCGTGCGGGTGGCAGCCACTCGATGTGTCCCTTTCACGTCGATGTTTCTCTCTCTGTCTCTCTCTTCCTCTCTCTCCCTCCCACTCTATCTGTACAAAAAATGGAAAAATATCCTCGGGTGAGGATTAAAAAAAAAAAAGCAACAGCCCGGCCAGTGTGGCTCAGTGGTTGAGCGTCGACCCTGCACCAAGTCACCGGTTCGATTCCCAGTCAGGGCACATGCCCAGGTTGTGGGCCTGATCCCCAGTGGGGGGCGTGCAGGAGGCGGCCCATCGATGTTCTCTCTCATCGATGTTTCCATCTCTCTCTCCCTCTCCCTTCCTCTTTCTCTAGACTCAATAAAGGAAAAAAAAAGGCAACAGCATGAATCACTTCTTGGGCGGGATGGGCGTGCGGCTGCCAACGCCTAACCGGTCCTTTGGGCTGGAGAGGTGGAAACAAGTCAGTTTGTATCACACCTCCTTTTCCCAGAAGGCAGCCACGCGACTCTTGTGAACGCGTTATTTTAAATGTGCCTTCCCAGAAATGGCACGTTCTAAAATTGGAATATGATCGAATGCAATTAAATTCACAGTGGGGTGAGGTGCTCAGAATGGCACCTGTTCCTACCTACGACAGGAACGTCACGGCGCCCCCGTGAGGGTGGCTGGTTTTCAAATCTGACATCGGTGAGGCTTACCTCCTGAAGTTTCTCACGGTACCTCCGGGGGCTGTGGGGGCCCTCGATGTGGGGCGTTCCTGTCCTTAGGCTATTACAGTCACAGAGTGATCTGGGCATTAAATGCTGCAGCGCATTCATTCCAACACAGTCGGTTCCGACCGAACGGGGGAGGTGAAGCGAGGCACGGGCTGGGAAAACGCAATCGACGACCTTACCTACCGTTATGGGACATCCCGACCGAAAGGCACTTGTGGAAACGACAGTATTGGCACTTATTTCGATTCTTTTTCTGAATCTTGCAGCTACGGTCGCACTTGTCGTAGACCAGCTTCAGTCGAATTGTTCGCCGGAAGAACCCCTGTGAGATGGACACATTGATGAAATCAACATCATCTCGGGCTGTTCCTGTATGATCTCTTCTAAAAGGAACTGAGTCTAGAGAAATACTTCTGAAAATTCTGATATAACGGGGACACAATGAACATTTCTTTTTTTTTTATTATTCCTCACCCGAGGATATTTTTCTATTTATCATTAGATAGAGCAGGAGGGAAGGAGAGAGAGAGAGACAGACAGACAGAAACATCGATGTGATAGACACATTGACTGACTGCCTCCCACACAACCCGACCAGAGCTGTGGACGAACCGCAACCGAGGTACGTGCCCTTGACCGAAATCGAACCCGCGACTCACTGGTCCATAGGCCAACACTCTAACCACTGAACCAAACTGGCCAGGGCACAAATAGAAACATTTTAATTTCATTACATGTAAAATTAGAAACAAGAAAATGAGGCAAAATTCAAAGTACTTTCCAAGTGTCCTCATCTGGCTTGGAAAGACACAATTATAATCTTCCTGAGAGTTACATGATCCTGTTAAAATTTGCACAAATTTAACTTTTTCCTCTCATGTGACATACCTATATTTGTGATGAAAAACTTTCTAGGAATTTTTATAAGAGAATTTTAACTCCCTAAAAGACAAAAATTATAATATAGTATGATAAAGGAAGCCAGCTTTATGTAAACAATTTTCTTGCTTTATAAAAAGCACCTTAAACTGTATCCAGTAAGAAAAAAAACTTTATTTTTCATACTTAAAAATAAAACTGTATTTAAGAACTCCAAACAAAAGTAGCTCAGCCATGCAGAAAGGCACACGGTGGGAGAAGTCGTGAAGGCGTTCATATTTGAGGGTGGTTTTCTTTCCTCTTTGCTTTCCATCATTCTTCCACATTATTAATTTTTTTAATCCTCACCCGAGGATATGTTTCCATGTATTTTCAGACAGAGTGGGAGGGAGAGAGAGAGAGAAACGTCCCTGTGAGACACAGCGACTGGCTGCCTCCCGCACAAACTGAGGTACGTGCCCTTGACCAGAACTGAACCCACGACTAGGCTGAGGGCTGATGCTCTAACCACTGAGCCAAACTGGCCAGGGCTTTCTTCCACATTTTGCCCGGTAGGCCTGACTGGACCACAGGAGACGGGATGGCAATGTCTTGGGGAATGTAAGAGGCAGGTTCATGTTTTCATTTGATTGGTCATCTAGGTTTGCAGAGCAGGGTGGCCGGAAACTGTGTGTGGCTGTGAGGGAGGGTGAGAAAGAATTTTAAAAGTCAAGGTGTAGAGGCACCCTGGCTCACGTGGCCCATCCTCCCCGTGCACAAGGCTGGCTCACGTGGCCCACCATGTGCACAAGTGGCTCACGTGGCCCACCCTCCCCGTGTGCCAGGCCGGCTCACGTGGCCCACCCTCCCCGTGCACGAGGCCAGCTCACGTGGCCCACCCTCCCTGTGCACCAGGCCGGCTCACGTGGCCCACCCTCCCCGTGCACGAGGCCAGCTCACGTGGCCCACCCTCCCCATGCACCAGGCCAGCTCACGTGGCCCACCCTCCCCGTGTGCCAGGTTGGCTGGAGGCAGGACGTCAGTGTCTGAAGAATGCAGAGTGTGCAGCGTACCATTAGAGGCTGTGGCATTTTCCAAAAGTTAGTAAACATGCCCAGCGTGTGCAAGAAAAGGGACTTCCGACTTTAACCAGCAGTCACGTGACTAACTCTCCCACATCTCGCGGACACGAAATGCCAAGCCTGAGATGTACGTATAATCCTGAACGTCTGCAATGCTGTGGGAGCCTCAGGGTGTCACAGGAGGCGGTCCCTCTTACTGTCATGCTGTAAAGCCACGGAAGGGCCGGTGACCCAGTGGGCAGAATGCTGGAGACACGGCCAGACCTCCCGACCTGCTGGCCCTGGGTCACGTGTGTGGCGATCTGGCTGAGCGAGCATGAGAGCGACGATATGCGCCGCGGTTGGGGTGAAGAGACCCCAACACGCAGGAAGGGGTGCCGGGGGCCAGGAGCAGCGGGGGAGGGACAGCACCAGGTCTGTTGTCACCTGCCACGCGCTGTGAGACACTGTAGGTCTCGGATCGCTGTGACAACCACGGCCTTCCCTGACAGTCTGGTGAGGCTGAGGGAGAAGGGGGCCAAAGCTCTCGGACCTTGTCCCCAAACAAAGGGATCGCCCTTAACGTGGTTTATTCTCCTTTAAAGAACACCCCCCCCTAAGGCGTTTAGCAAGCAGAGCCCAGCAACCTGCCAGAGACTCTGAAGAGATTAATCCGCGGCTGAGGTCAGTTTCGCTCCGCGGCCTGCGGCCGATCTGTGTTCGTAACAACCATGTGCGTCTGAGGTACAAGGAAGCGCACACACCGTCCCTGAAGCAGGCCACCTGTCTCCTCCTCCAGGGCCCACCGTACCTTGCAGCCTTCACACGCGTGAACCCCGTAATGGTAGCCCGAGGCTTTGTCCCCACAGATTCTGCATTCAATGTTCAACGCTGTATTGGAAGACTCATCGGTGCTGCCAGAGACCACGGGATAAGTGACCGATGAGGGACTTGAAGCCGGTGAAAGGGTGTCTGAGAACAGACAGGAAAGACGAATGAATCTTCAAAGCGTCCCCAGTCTCGGTCTAAATCAGCTCTATGAGGACAGGGTGTCACAAGTGAGGAGGCGTCCGCTGGAAGGCGGGCTCCCAGCCTGAGTCGGCCCGTCCGGGGTTGTCCCACCCCCTTCCGTGCCCCTAGGACTGCTGTCACGCTGGCATCACCAAGATGCCTCTGGACCCACAGACCTGGTGTCCCAGACCCTCCACCCGTGGCTCCCCGGGCCCCCGCACTTGACGCGCCCTAAGAACTCGTCACTCGTGCGCTTGCTTCCGGCGCTTCTGCCGTTGTTAGCTCAGCCAACGGCACCAGAACAGCACAGAGACCCCGCGGGCGACGCGCGCAATCCGCGAAAGAAAAAATCAGCTGGGCTGTCTTAAAATCAAGCCGAGAAGAACAGATACGACGCATGGTCTTAGCCGAAAGGCCAAGAAGCGATGGACTGTCTTAAAATGAAAACCTCTGCTCTGCCAAAGACACTGCTAGGAAAATGAAGAGACAAGCCACAGACTGGGAGAAACAATCATCTGTAAAGTATGCATATCTGATACAAGATTTTAAACCAAATATACAAAGAAGACTTAAAACTCAACAGTAACAATACAACTCCACTAAAAAATGGGCAAAGGTCTGCACGGACACCTCACTAAAGAGGTACAGGCTGCACGTGAGCATATAAACAGATGTGTAATCACTGGTGATTAGGAAACGGAATTAAAACAACAGTGAGACATCACTACACACCTATCAGAGTGGCTAAAATCCAAAAATCTGACGACGCCAAGTGCTGGCATGGATGTGGAGCAATGGGAACTCTCACTGGTCGCTGATGGGAATGCAACATGGTGCAGCCACTTTGGAGGACAATTTGGCAATTTCTTATAAGCAAATGTCTTATAGGAATTACATTCCTAGATATTCACCCAAGTGACTTGAAAACGTATGTCCACACATAAACCAAACACGAATGTCCGCAGCAGCTTTATTCATAATTGCCAAAATCAGAAGCAACCCAGAAGCACAGGGGTGTTTTGGAGGTCGTGAAACCATCCATACAAAAATGTGACAGTGGCTACATGATACTATGCACTTGTCAAAATCCACAGAACCTTACAGGACAGAGTGAACCTTTAATGTTGCAAATAAAACAAAAACAATTCAGGAGGCGTGGGGAGCTCAGGACGGAAGGCAGAGCGCCCCAAGAGATTTACGGTACTACAAACATCTGTGACAACCTCGCTGCAGGAGAGACGGGGCTGGCCAGTGAAACCTTGGACATGAGTGGAGTCGGAGACTCCAGGCACATAGAACTGACATGAGGCCGTAGGTCAGCTGATGAAGTAGCCGACAGGGGGATGGGTTAGCAATTCTGAAACCACTATACATGTGCTTGGAAATGGACAGTTCATTAAAGGAACGGTGGATGGCAGGAGCTGGGTTTCTCACTGTGGGAGGGGAAGGTGCAGACAAGCAAGAGGAGGAGGGCAGAATGACCCACATGGTGATGGGTCTGCTGTAAACAGCAGCAGGAACTCACGTCTACCTTACTATAGAGGCCGATGACCACATATGGAAGTATCTGTAGATAGGTGTGCACACATGAGTTGATGTGTCTCTGCTGTATCAGCTGAGAGAATGATTAGAAGGGACGATGGCTGGGACTGTCCTGGAGCTGGATATCGTCCTAGCTCCCTGCTCACAGTGGGAAGTCTCAGAACTCATGAGGCATTTGGAAAAGCACTCAAAAGGGCTCTGCCTCAGTATCGGGCAAAATTACCTTTAGAGTCAACACAAAGCTTAAAAACAAGACCTGAAAGGACAAAACATCTTCCAAGTAACTTAACTGCATCCGAGAACAAAGCACAAGAATATGACAGGAAAAATAAATATCCGTCAACCTGGTTCACAATGTATGACATCCAATAAAAAATGACAAAACACATAAATAAGCAGAAAATATGACCCATACTAACGAGAAAAATCAATGAGCGGAAACTGACCCAGAAATGACACAGTAGGTAGATTTTGTAGACAAGACGTTTTAAAAAGTTTTTATGACTGTATTGTAAACGTTCAAGAAGCTACATGAAAGACTGAACATGTTACGTAGAGAGAGGGGATAAAAAAAAAAAACAACCCACAAATCATGCTTCCAGTGATGAAAACGATAATATCTGATGACTGCAAAAGGGAGATTAGTCAACTCGGAGACATAGCAAAATAAACTATCCAAGATGAAACATAGATTGAAATAAGACTGGGCAAGGAAAAAAAAGAACATAGTTTCATCTGTGCAATCTATCAAATATTTAAGGAAGAAATAAAATCAGTTCTATGGAGATGCTTCCAGAAAACTAAAGATAAGAGAATACTTCCTAACTCATCCATGAGGCCAGCATTAATCCGATACCAAAGCCAGACAAAGACTACCAGAAAACAGAGCCAATATACCTCATACACACAGATGCAAACATTCTTAAAATGTTAGCAAGTAAAATCCAACAATATATGAAGAGGGTAATATATGATGATCGAGTAGGATTTATCCTGGGAGCAAGGTTGTCCTAACCTCTGAAAATCAAACAATGTAATTCACTATGTTAATCAAACTAAGAAAGAAAAACAATTTGATTGTCTTACTCAATGCAGGAAAACGTACTGGAAAAGATCCAACATCAATTCTTGATCCAAATTCACAGAAAACTAGAATTAGAAGGGAACTTCCTCAACTTGATAAAGAATATCTATTAGAGCCCTGGCCGGTTTGGCTCAGCGGTTAGAGTGTCAGCCCGGTCCAGAGGGACCTGGGTTTGGTTCCCAATGCAACCCCAATCACTGTCTCAGCAGACTTCTTGGGTATAAACTGACATACTGATTCTAAAATGTATATGTAAATGCAAAGGACCTAGGACACTCAAACATCTTCAGAAAAGAAGAATAAAGTTGCTGGCCAGAGTGGCTCAGCTGGTTGTGCGTCGTTCCATGAACCAAAAGGTTACTGGTTCGACTCCCAGTCAGGGCACTTGCTCGGGTGTTGGGCTCAATCCCCAGTAGGGGGCGTGCGGGAAGTAGCTGATGCATCAATGTTTCTCTCTCTCTCCCTTTCTCTCAAAAAAAAAAAAAAAATCAATAAAAACATATTTTTTAAAAAAAGAAGAAAGTTGAAGGACTTATGCTCCTTGACTTCAGGCCTTATTATAAAGTAATCAGGAATCTTTGACTGCTGTCAAATGAGACACACGCGTCAATGGGACTGAATAGGGTCCAGGAACAGACCCCCCACCTACAGTCAGTCGGTCCTTGACAAAGGTACAAAGTTGATTTAGTGGGGACCGTGGACTTTCTAACAAACCGTGCTAGAACAATGATAAACGCAAACGAAAGGACAGAAACAAGTTTTGATCATGTATAAACATGAACTCAGCGCATCTTACACATCGTTGTACACCTGAAAATACAAACTTCCAGAAGTGACTTTGGTCAACGATTTCTTAGCTGTGACACGAAAAGCATGATCATGGAAGAAAACAGCACTGACACACTGGGCTTCGTCGAGATTAACGATGCCATGCTTTTCGAAAGGCGCTGTTAAGAGGAAGAGAAGACAAGCCACAGACACTGAGAAAAAATTCATAAATCACACAACTAATGAAGTACTTATACCCAGACTATATAAATCACAACAAACAATAGTAAGAAAACAAACAACTCAATTTAAAAATGGGTCAAAGCCCGGCCAGTGTGGCTCAGTGATTGAGCGTCAACCCATGCATCAGAGGTCCCCGGTTCGATTCCCGGTCAGGGCACATGCCCGGGTTGTAGGTCTGATCCCCAGTGAGGAACATGCAGGAGTCGGCCAATCAATGTTCTCTCTCATCGATGTTTCAATCTCTCTCCCTCTCCCTTCCTCTCTAAAACTCAATAGAGAAATAAATAAATAAATAAATGAAAATGGGTCAAAGCCTGGCTGGTGGCTCGCTGGTTGAGCGTCGACCCATGCACCAAGAGGTCACCAGTTCGATTACTGATCAGGGTACATGCCCAGGTTGTGCGCCCGTACCCGATCCCCAATGGGGGGCATGTAGGAGGCGGCCAATCAATGTTCTCTCTCATCACTGTTTCTATCTCTCTCTCCCTCTCCTTTCCTCTCTCTCTCTCAAATCAATAAAGGAAAAAAATTTTTTTAAAAAATAGTCCATGCCCTGGCCGGTTTGGCTCAGCAGTTAGAGCATTGGCCTGCGGTCCAGAGAGACCCGGGTTCGATTCCCGCTAAGGGCAAGTACCTCGGTCATAGTTTGTCCCTGGCCCCGGTTGGGTCGTGCAGGTGGCAGCTACTCAATGTGTCCCTTTCACGTCAATGTCTCTCTCTCTCTCTCTCCCCCTCCCCACTCTATCTGAACAAAAAATGGAAAAATGTCCTCAGGTGAGGATAAAAAAACAATGGTCGAAAGATTTCAACCAAAGCATCACCAAAGAAGATACAAGGCAAACTAAACGTGCCAGAAGATGCCCCGCGCCCCCTGCTCCCTGTTCTGCGCTATGGCCCACGGCCACCGTCAGACCCCCGTGCACACGCCTGTCGACGTCTGTTCCCAGCTGGGTGCAGAGCACACACCTCGCCTGCACACAGGTTCCGTCCGTGCGCACCACTCCCCGCCGCGGAAATGCTCCCTTCCCCACTCGGTCACGAAAACCTTCCAGGGGCGGGACGAGTGCTGGGGAAACGTGCTCCAGGCCAGAAACTGGACACGAGAGGATCCAGGGAGGGGCAAGGACCCCGAGAGCCTTCTCTCGACTCCCCAGGCGAGCCTGTTTCCCCTCTCGGAGTCCAAAGCCACATCCACGCCCAGCCACAGGCTCGTCTACACCCACCTCCTTCAGTCCCTACCCAAGACCCCCTGCTGCCAGGAAGCCCCGTGAGCATTCGGCCCACACAGGGGCCCTTCAAACCAGGGGCAGCTCAGTGCCCGTCACCCTGGGTCAGCCGAGACGCCGCCTAGACAAGGACGCGTTTCTGGTGGCTTCCCTCCCAGCGACACGCCGGTCGCCTGACTAGCCCCATGTTTCTTTCTATCCTCCCCGTCGTCCTTGATGCCGGCAGTGGTCACGTGCCCGTCCAGATGAAAGAGGGAGTCGTTTTTATTCCGACAGGGGCCCCCGCTTTCATGAAATACGGGACAGGGCCAAGGCAGGCCACCTGCCATCGTAGGGAAGGCGCCACCGCAGGCAGATGCAAGTCCTCCCGCTAAAGAGAACAGCGCTCTCTGCAGAGACGGTGTCCCCAGAGCGCGTCCCAGGAAGCCGCGCACGCACCTGTAATGACGGATCCGTCGGATCCCGGGCCGCTTCCCAAATACTGGTAATCGGTAAAGCTGAAGCTGCCGGAGCTGTCCTCACCGATGGACTGAGAAATGTCTTGGATGTTTCCCATTTCCTGCAGGAATTCTTCCGACAGCGGGCTTTCCAGGTCCTCAGCCTCGAGCGGGAAGAGGGGGCAGATCGGGCTTTCCGTGTCCACCATCCTGGCCCGAGGGCTGGCGGCCGCTGCGCCCACCGCTGCGGGAGACAGAAGCAGCCGGTGAGGCCGACGGAAGACACCGGCTTCCCGCTCACGGGAACCTCATTTACCAGTGAGGACATCCGTGGACCCCTCATCTAGAAACCAACGTCACTGACCGTCCTACTCGGCTGGTCTCGAAAAGCACATTACGAGAGTGAAAATGCCTACACACGAAATTCTGTTCTTTTTTCATCCTCACCCGAGGATACTTTTCCATTTATCTTCAGATACAGTAGGGGGCACGGAGAGGGGTAGGGAGAGGGAGAGGGAGAGAGAGACAGAGACAGAGAGAGACACAACGACTGGCTGCCTCCCACACAACCCCAACCAGGGCTGGGGACAAACTGCAACCCAGGCACGTGCCCTTGACCAGAATCGAACCCTTTGGTCCGTGGGCCGATGCTCTAACCGCTGAGCAAAACCGGCCAGGGTTCAACACAAAATGTTTAAGGCACCATCGCCGCCCAGGCCGGGAACCAGCCATTCGTCACTAGTCACACTGCATGCTGAGCTCAACCCACCGTGTCTCAGGTGACAAGGCAGCGGTGGACACAAAGTCCCTCCCAGAACACCCTTCTGGCGGGGACACGGACGGGGAAAAAGTAAACAAGTCCACGCACAGCGTGTCGGATGGTGATGTGACGCTGCAGGGAGAGCGGATGGGAAACGGACTCTGCCTACCCGAGCAGGCCAGGGATGGACGGCCTTGCTGACCAGAGAGACAGCAAGCGCTGGAGGACGAGGGAGTGAGCACATGTCTAGGGAAGAACGTTCCAGCAAATGGAACCGCACATACAGAGGCCTCAGGACAGAAGCACGCAGGTCAGTACCTGCTAGAAATAAGCAAGCCAGCGTGGCTCAGGCGGGGGCAGGGGGACAGCAGGAGGGACCAGCAGTCAGCACAGGAGGGTACAGTACTATAGCCCCCGTGGGACCCTCGTGTAACCCCGGTAGGCATTCCTAAGAAATGACTGTGCTAGCCAACACGTTGAAGTCTCAAAAACATCTAACAGGTGAGTCCCCGACAAAGCTGGACGTTTTAACTCCCGCGCGAAAGAACAGTCTCCCTGTGGGCACTGGGACGGGCTGGACTGTGTCCCCCCGATCCGTGTGCTGGATCCTAGCCCCCGCCCTCAGAATGTGGCCGAATTTGGCGAGAATGAATGAGGCCTTTGGAGCGGGCCCTAGTCTAACCTGACGCGTGTCCTGACGAGAAGAGACTCTGGGACTCACGCAGAGACAGCGGGGACACCGCCGCAGGCGGCCGCCGGCAAGGAGGGAGGCCCGCGGAGAAACCAGACCTGCTGACTCGTGGGTCTCGGCCTTCCCGCCTCCGGAGCCGTGAAGACAGGAATGTCTGTGGTTTAAGCCTGTGCTCTGTGGTCCTGCTTACGGTGGCCGAGCAAACGAACCAGGTACAAAGTCGAACGGCGGTTTCTCCCGTGTTGGCCGCTCGACCCTCTTGCTCAAACACCGGAACCTCTTCCTCTGACCTCCAGACTAATGCCCCGTGGCCCAGCCTGTCTCCCACCTGACCTCACCATTGCCCCACCCTCCGGTCCCTGCAGCAACCGGCAGCAGGGGCCAGGGCCCGGGCCAGACCCGCCGCACCGCCCCCGCTGTGCCTTCGCCACCTGCACCCCTGGGGAGCCCGCCAGCCCCTCATCGCCCAGGGAGGCTGGCAGGTAGCGCCCAGAACTCTCCCCTCTGGAGTGGTCACAGGGGGCCCATGGCTCACAGGGCGGAGAGGACCAGACGGGGTTGCCTGCAGCAGAACGCACCGCCAGGCGACCCCAGAACGCCACCCGGCCGGAGCAACCCACGGAACAGGCCTGAGTGAAAAGCTCCCGGTCAGCCGCGCAAAGCCAACTGCGGCCTGACCCACAGAGGCGGGAGGCTCTGGCGGCCGCTGCGGATGACAGCCGGCGCGGCTCACACATTGCCGTGACATTCGCGTCGCGCCTGGAGTTCTGACTGCGCACGATCCCAGGTGACCTCTGGGCGTACCCCGGGTTTTCCACCATATCTGCCCCGTCACCACATCTGAAGGAAGACGTTCTCCAAGGGGCAGACAATGGGTCGCATCACTTACTAACAAACATTTTCCACCATGAACGAAAGGTCCCAAACGGTGGTCCCGGACCCGCAGACATGGCCGCCAGCGGGGCGGAAGCTGCGTGTGGGGGAGGGACGCAGGGACCACCTCCTCCGACACCCCTCGCGTCCTCGGTCTCTGATGGACAGGCGGCAGCCACAGTGTCCTGCAGACGGGCCCAGCCGGGGGCCTCGGAGCAGGAGCGACTGGTCTCGCCTAAGAGGACGTTAGGTCCCTGCCCCTGCGTCCTGGGGGCTCGGATGTTTGGAGATGTCACCACTTCACTTTCCGCTGCTTTTATTTTATTTTTTATTTATTTATTTTTATCCTCATCTGAGGACATTTTTCCATTTTTTGTTCAGATAGAGAGGGAGGAAGAGAGAGGAAGAGAGAGAGAGAGAAACTTCGACGTGAAAGGGACACATCGAGTGGCCGCCACCCGCACGACCAACCAGGGCCGGGGACAAACCGCAACCAAGGTACGCGCCCTTAGTGGGAACCGAACCCGGGTCCCTCCGGACCATAGGCCAACGCTCCAACTGCTGAGCCAAACCGGCCAGGGCCCGTTGCTTTTATTTTTAAAAATTATTTTTCCTTTTTTGATTTTAGAAAGAGAGGAAGTGAGAGGGAGAGAGAGAGATGAAACATGGATGAGAGAGAACCTCGACTGAACACCTCCCGCATGCCCCCCACTGGGGGTCGGGCCCACAACACGTGCCCTGACCGGGAATCGAGCCGGCGACCTCCTGGTGCAGCGTCGACGCTCAGCCACTGAGCCACTCCGGCCGGGCTCCGTTGCTTTTAAAGCCCAGCCGAGGGTTAGTGGGAGACGGTCTCACTGCGGAGAAAGAGGGGGGCCAGACAAACCCCTCACAATGAGGCGACGCCCTCCTGGACCCTGGCCCACGGACCAGCCTGCCCTGCGGCTCCGGGCACGTCCTGGCTCCCAGGCGCTCCCGACGGCAGTTGCTTCTGCTCAAGGTGCAGAAATGTCACAGGAGTCGCCAGCTCTGTCGAACCCACACACGTGACACTGCCCGGGTCACGGGAGCACCCCAGGCGCCAGGCCTGCGCCCTGTGCCCAGTGCTCGGGGGCTAAGCAGGATGAGCAGGATGGCTCCTCTCAGCGGCTCCCCGGCCGGCCAGGGAGGAAGACCACACGGCCGGAGAGACGACTGGAGCGCACGGGCTTCAGCAGGTCTCGGGTCCCCGCACAGCTTTCCCCGCTGGGACGGGGCAGCGAAGGCGGTGGGAGCAGGCTCCGCGTCCGCCCCTGGTGCCCGCAGAGGTGTGACGTCCGTGGGACTCTGTCATGCCTGCCTAACCGACACCCACAGGGCTCCCACGTGCATTTCCTCCTGGGCCCCTCCAGCTGGGACATCGGAGCTGCCTCCCGCCCATCAGGACAATGTGAACCCAGAGATGCTGTTTTCATCTTAGTGACGGAAAGTTTATCCATCAAAACATTCCTTTCAGAACCACCAAGCAGGGTACACAAAAGGGCTATGGAATAGCCCTGCGTGGTTTGGCTCAGTGGTCGGAGCATCAGCCCATGGACCAAATAGTCTCAGGTTCGATTCCTGGTCGAGAGCACGTACCTGGGTTGCAGGTTTGACCCACGGCCCCCGGTTGGGGTCATGGGGGAGGCAACCAATAGATACGCATCTCTCTCACATCGATGTTTCTCTCTCTCTTTCCCTCCCTCCATCCCTTCCTCCCACTCTCTCCAGAAAACTCAATGGAAAAATATCCTTGAGTGACGATTAAAAACAAAACAAAAAAACTACAGAACATTTTTTAAAAAGAAATAGAAAAGAGAGAGGGGGGAGAGAAGGAAGAAAGGAAAGAAGGAGGGAGGGAGGGAGGAAGGAGGAGGGAGGAAGGAGGAGGGAGGAAGGAGGAGGGAGGGAGGGAGGAGGGAGGGAGGGAGGAAGGAGGGAGGGAGGAAGGAGGAGGGAGGAAGGAGGAGGGAGGGAGGGAGGAGGGAGGGAGGGAGGAAGGAGGGAGGGAGGAAGGAGGAGGGAGGGAGGAGGAGGGAGGGAGGAGGAGGGAGGGAGGGAGGAGGGAGGGAGGGAGGAAGGAGGGAGGGAGGAAGGAGGAGGGAGGGAGGGAGGGAAGGAGGGAGGGAGGGAGGGAAGAAGGAGGAGGGAGGAAGGAGGAGGGAGGGAGGGAGGGAGGGAGGGAGGGAGGGAGGGAAGAAGGAGGAGGGAGGAAGGAGGAGGGAGGAAGGAGGAGGGAGGGAGGGAGGAGAGAGGGAGGGAGGAAGGAGGGAGGGAGGAAGGAGGAGGGAGGGAGGGAGGGAAGGAGGGAGGGAGGGAGGGAAGAAGGAGGAGGGAGGAAGGAGGAGGGAGGGAGGGAGGAAGGAGGAAGGAAAGAATTCGATTATTGTTTCATGTTCCCTAAACACAGGGAAGGTGGAAACACGGGAGGTATGTAACATCAGCTGACAGCCTGTGACACGAAGGTGGCATCTGTCTAGGACATGAGGCTGAAATGAGCTGCCCCTGGGGTGCAGCCATGGAGGGCCGGGTGCACCCCCCTCCGGTTCCCACGCACCTGGGGCCCCGCTCTGGGGGAGCCCTGAACTGTGTACACGTCGCCTCCCGAGCCTTGGGCTGCGGCTCCCAGAGGGGAGGGCACGTTTTGCGAATCTCATCCTCTTACCTCCAGGACACCCCCCACGGGCAGCGGGTGCTGTGTCTGGCGCTGGGCGGAGCCCGGTGCTGGCGGAGGCGGAGGCAGAGGCGGAGGCGGACGAGCTCCCTCCACCAAGGACTAGGTGAAGGTCTGTCTGCGAGGCTCACCTTGGCTCGGCATTCGCACCTGGATGGCAAACAGCAGCAGCCAGCCTTCCAAAGACAACAGAACCCTGGAGCAGAAGTCAGCGTGGGCCTGGCGGGGAAAGGGAGCAGAAGTCGGCAGAGGGAACTATAACCGTCGTAGGGATTTACAAACAAAGCGGTCACGAGGGGGACAAATCTGCGCGTAACCGTGAAGCAAGTTCCCAGTCAGCAGGAATTGAGAACAGAAGTGATGCTGATCAACACCTTCACCCCAGGGACAGGGCGGTGCCCACGGCCGGGCACCGGACAGACTGCTGAGCGAAGGCAGGGACGAATTCTCGGGTGGACCCCACCTCAGAAGCAGCAGAGGGAGAACGGGGGATGTCCCATGATAAAATAAATTAGGTGCTTTGAAGGAAGTGAAGATGCTCCATCACCCGACTGGAATGAAAGGGGACCGAGGACAAAGCCCTCACGGGGGCTCCCAGGCTGTCCCTCTATCTGACCCAGCTTTGTCTCCCCAAATTAATGCGGTTTCTGGGACCTGGACGGCTCCTCATAAACACTTTCCGAAATTAAATATTAAATAACAGCTTGATACTGTCCCAACTATCAAACACTGTTCTATGATTGGGATCAAATACTCAGGACAAAGAACAGGTGCAACTGGACTTGAATTTTTACACTCAGAACTTGTATTTAGCTCCGAGGGTCCAGAAAAATGGTTGCAAACATTAGATTTCACTTAGCTATTAGCATTTTGGTTTGTTTTCCTTTTAAAAAATTTTTTTCCCTTTATTGATGCTAGAAAGAGGAAGGGGGGGAGAGAGAGAGACAGAAACATCGAGGACAGAGAACATCGACGGGCCGCCTCCTGCACGCCCCCCACTGGGGATCGGGCCCACAACCTGGGCATGCGCCCTGACCGGGAGTCGAACTGGCGACCTCTGGGTGCAGGGTCGACGCTCCACCACTGAGCCACACCGGCCAGACTGTTAGCATATTTCTGTAACCTACCCTACTGTCTTGTATCGGAAAACCCTGCCGGATGTCCCGAACGGGCTTAGCAATGCCGTCTCACAGAAACCTGCTTACGTGGTCTCCTGCCACAAGACGCCCGGTGAGGCTGCGCCGACCGATCTGAGGGCAAAAGACGGGATTTCTGTCGACGGGCCACCGTTTTCAGGGCAGACGAGACAGCTTTCCAACAACGCGTTATTCTCTCCTTCCTGTTCTCGTCAGCTCGTGTCCGGTTCTTCATGCTTGTCCATATACTTTTTAGATATTAAATTTGATCTTCAGAAGCCTTTTAGCTTAATTTGTTGGTCTAGGGTTTAATATATATATATTTTTTTTATCCTCACCCGAGGACATTTTTCCATCTTTTGCACATATAGAGTAGGAGGGAGAGAGAGGAAGAGAGAGAGAGAGAGAAACATCGACGTGAAGGGACACATCGAGTGGCTGCCACCCACACGACCAACCAGGGCCGGGGACAAACTGCAACCGAGGTACATGCCCTTAGCGGGAACCGAACCCAGGTCTCTCCGGACCACAGGCCGATGCTCTAACCGCTGAGCCAAACCGGCCAGGGCTTGGTCTAGGGTTTAAAATAACTTTTGAACATACACCAAAGAATACTTCAAAGTCCTCTGGCCCGGCTGGTGTGGCTCAGTGGATGGAGCGTCCCAGGGACTGAGAGGTCCCGGTTCAATTCCGGGTCAGGGCACGTACCCAGGTTGTGGGCTCGATCCCCAGGAGGGGGCGTGCAGGAGGCAGCCGGTAGATGTCTTGCTCACATGGATGTTTTTGTCTCTCTCTCTCCCCCTTCCTCTCTCTCTAAAAAAAAAAAAAAAATCAATAATAAAAAAAACCAGTCCTCTGTACCTTCACCTGGCACCAGGAATTCACAGAAACAGAAATAGATTAATCATTACCACCCACGCAGATGGTAATGATTAGCAGGCTCACAGAGTATAGAAAATGCGGACGAGACACATTCAGAACGGAAGAAAACAGTGCCCGGGTCTAACCACAGCGAAGAACCCGGGCACCCCGTGTTTTAGTGGATCACATCAAACACGTGGAGGAGACCTGGCCCAGCAGCCGGACTGACCGGCCATATCGACATCTTTCCCAACGATGCCCGCGGCTCTGGCATTTTGCAATCGCGGGAACTTGGCATGTGAACACGGGTGACAAGCCCAAGGAGAACTCAAGAGGGGTGGACAGCCTCTGCCCCTCTATGTCAGCGTGCAAACACAACGTTCCCAACCCGCTTCCAGGAAAACCGCCCCCAGCTTCGCACAAAGGTCACTCGCTGTGACAGTATTTATTACTTCCGTTCCAAACCCACTCTTCCTTCCCATCTTCCTACGAGCGCAGTGGGCCCTGTAAACACTGCGGCCCGCTCCCCCCCGTTGGTGGCGGCGTCGGAATCACGGACGGAAAGCTGCCACGTCAGACACATGTGGTGTCCGTCACAATGACATGTGAGTGTGCGGAGAAGCCGGTCCCAGAACCAAGTCAGTGGAGATGAACCCACATTTCACACGGGAACCCTTTGGCCGGGGCAGAGGCACCAGCCCGGCACGCTCAGCTGCTAGGGGTCGCAGCAGCAGCACCTGTGGGGACACCCGAGCCGTCCTCAGGGGAGGGCAGAGCCGGGCAGCAGACACCGGGGCCCCAGAAGCGGAGGGAGTCGCTGAGTCGCTGAGCTTAGGGTTTGCAGGCTGATGCCCGGCCTGCTTCTTCCCTGCCTCCTTCCGCCTCTGCCCGGCCCCTTACCTGGGCGCACGTTTCCTGGAACCCCCAGCAGTCAGCTCCGCATCGCCTCTGCCCCCCGCCGGCCTGATCCCCAAAGGAACCCTAAAATGATCACCCCACCTCTGCCAGGGCCTCTTTCCAGTACAAGGGAGCTTGTACTCAAAAGGGACGACCAAAAAATGCCCGACTCCCCAGGAAGGTCTCCGACGGGAAGGAGAGAGCAGCCAGCCAGCCAGCACAGGGAAGTCCAGGCGGACGGACCGAGGATGAGGGGGAGAGCCCCCGGCAGCGGACGTTATTCACGTCCCTGGGAAAATGAGGGCCTACGCTTTCGACAAAGCAGTGCGTCCTCGCCAGGGACAGACAGCTAGCAGCTCTCTTGGGAACTACAAACATGACCACTGACTTCACGGGGATAAAGGCCTCCGTCTTCTGGAAGGAAAAGCGAAAGACACGGAATCTGGGAGGAGAAAGTGAGGAGCCCCGTCCAGCAGGGAGACCATCGTCCAGCAGGGAGACCATCGGGACAACCGGGTCCCAGAGGGAGGGCAGTGAGGGGACCACGCGGAGGACACGAGCGGCAAAGGAATGCAAGGTCATCTCCCAGAAACAAAGGCCTGAATTCCCAGGCTGGAAATTCTGTGGGTTCCCCACAGAATGGATGAATACGGGGCCATCGAGACCGTGACTGGGCCTGTCTGAGCCCACTGGGGACAGAGAGACGGCCCCACCTGTTCCTACCAGTTGCAGAGGGGGAGCCCATCACGCCCGAGATCAAATATCAGAACATTTTGGGATTTCTCAACAGGAGCAGAAAGATCATGAATGAGTCAGCACACTTATCATGCAAGAAGGGAAAATACTTCCAACGCCCAAGTGCTATCGTAATGATCTCTCTCTCGCGCTCTCTCTCTCTCTCTCTCTCTCTAACTCTAGAATCTCTCCTTCTCGTAGCACCTGGTCCTTATCTCCTATTGGGGGGAATTGCTGGGGAACATGTTTTTTTATGGAGGTAAGGAATTGAACCCAGTACCTTTTCTAGACATCTAACCTGGAGTGAGTATTCACAGATGCTGGTACGTCCTCTGCAGCATGTTATAGTTTTACAGCCCTTTGTGGACCAACTGTAGGACTTTGTCATTGGCCATTATTCAGACACAACACTGCTACTAATTAGAGACTCTGTTGATACTGGTGATGGCGGCTAACACTTCCTGAGTCCTTACCAAGTGCCAAGCATGTATTTAACTCATCTCATCCTTAACCTAGCCTGGAGGTAGGTATATTCGTGTTTAATTTACCTGTAGGGAAACTGAAGTACACAGAGGTTACAATCACATACCCAGGGTCCCAGAACCGGGGCGGGGGAGGGGCTGGGGTTTGAATCCAGACAGCCAACCTCGAGTTTCTGCTCCTGAATACCATGCTATAATCATCCGTATTATTTACAGTGTGATGTTCTTTTCTGACTGATTTGAGAGAGAGAGGGAAAGAGGCAGGGAGAGAGAGAAAGACAGAGATCAGTTTGTTCTTTCCCTTACTTCTGCACTCACTGGTTGCTTCTCGTCCGTGCCCTGACCAGGGATCGGACCCACAGCTTGGTGCATCTGGACAACGCTCGAGCCAGCTGAGCCGCCCAGCCAGGCCTCCTGTGCTAGCACCTCACCGCTTCCAACGCAGCTGTCGCCAGTCTGGAGACCTCACGACAGCTTCCTCACCACCTGCGCGCTGTCTCCCTTCCGTTCACCCACGTTAGGAGCAGACAGTCCGCTGCACAACTTTAATTCTTTGCTAGAGTCTTTACGTTTGGAAATGGAAAACCAAGACCGAGTATCATGGCCAACATTTGGTATTGTCCATCTTTCCCACGTTGGCCATTCTAGTGGGTACACAGCGGGACCCGCCACCACTGATGGATGCATTGTCCCAGCGGCTAATGATGGCGGGCACTTTTCTGTCTTCTGTTAATCCTCTCCCGTGGATATTTTCCCCATTGATTTTTAGAGAGAGTAGAAGGGAGGGTGGGAGAGAGAGAGAGAAACATCAATATGAGAGAGAAACACAACTGGTTGCTTCCTGCACAGCCTGGACTGGAGCCAGGGATTGAACCCGCAACCCAGGTGCATGTCCTTGTCTGGACATCAAACCCACAAAGGGCTGACACT